ACATCTCTGTGACGATGGCCATGCCTTCCGACCGTGTATTGCCCTCCAAGCATACTCAGCGGAGTTCAACCGTCTGGAGAGCGGGAAAACACATCCATTCGTACAACGCCGACCTCCAATCGCACAATCCGAGCCAAGACCCCCTCCACTCGCTCACCAGTGCAGGCGGTGCGTCGGGCACTGGTACCCCGTCGGATTCTTGAACAGGTACTTCTGGTGGTACTCCTCCGCGTCCCACCACGTCCCCGCCTCGACGATCTCCGTCACGATCTTCTTGCCTGCCCCGCGCGCGTCAGCGAGCCGCGTCGCACGGAACCCAACACGCATATACGCACCCTTGGGGTCGAAGTGCTTCCTCTGCACTTCGTCCGTCACCCGCTTCGCGACCTCAAGCTGCTCCGGGGTGTTGTAGAAGATCACGGACCGGTACTCTGCGCGCGGCGTGAGCGACGCACGCAGATGTGTGGGACGTAAGAAGAAGGAAGACGCACGGGTGCCCACGTCGCCGCCCTGCCGGTTCGCCGTCGTCGGGTCGTGCGTGCGGTAGAAGAACTCTGCGGGGGCCACGGCCGGTCAGCTCCTCTTCATCCCCAGTCCCGCCTAGAAAGAGAGAGAGAGAACGCACCGACGAGCTCCGCATACCCCACCACCGCGGGGTCGAACTCGACCCGGACCGCCTCCGCGTGGCCCGTCGCGCCCGCGCACACCGTGCGGTAGTCCGGGCTCGCCGCGTCCGCGCGCCCGCCGGTGTAGCCGACGGCGGTGCGGAGGACGCCCTTGCCCTGCGCGGGCGGGAAGTGCTTGAGGAAGATGTGCTCCGTGCCCCAGAAGCAGCCGGACGCGAACGTCGCGACCGACGGCGCGCCTTCGCCTGTGCGTGCGCGGGGATGTCAGGGGGCGATGTAGGGACGGGAGGGCGGGAGGGCACGGACGCACCGGACATGGTGGAGAGAAACTGTGTGGGAGAGATGCCGCGGGAGGAGAGAGAGGGTGCGCGGAAGAGGTTCGCGAGCAGGCTGAGCATACGCGTCGGTCGCGGTTCAGGTGTTCGGGATGGGCGAGGCAGAGTCGTCGGTGGCCGACTTTTGAGGTGACCTCATCGGGGCGGGAGATGGCGTCAAGGCGTCGGCCCACGTGATGGGCGTCGGGCCGCTGACTACGCGGCTGAGCAATTCGTCCGGCGGTGCTGTGTCGGTGAGAAGACAGTGAGAAATCCTGTCCTGGAGACATGGGGGTTGAGAACGAAAAGGTGGATCGGAGGCATGTCGCCGTGGGGCGTGTGTGCATAGATACATGTATGATACATGCATGATACACGAGAGACGGGAAAGAAGAAAAGCGTAGAAAGCAAAAGTCTAGGCGATCGCGAACGGACAGCCGACACTACCCCCCTCGGAGCGTACCCAAAACATCGAAAGCAATCCAGTCAGATCGCGCACCGCGGTCCGGACAGCTACATACACAGGAAGGCCACAGCGAACGACAGGACGAGCTACTACAGAAACTGCGTCGGGTCCCGCCACTCGGCCTCCGCGCAGCCGAAGCACTCGAGCCAGTCCCGCGCGTTGTACAGCGTCCGGCCCTTCGGCCACTCCTCCAGCACCGTCTTCCCGCCCTGGCGCGAGACGGTGTAGAAGTCGTCGTCGAACCGCGCGACGCGGACCATCGGGAAGCCCTGCTCCACCACCTGCGCCACGTCCTCCACGTCCCGGAACTGCGAGAGGCCGATGTACCGCAGCTGCGGCGGCATGCCCGCGCGCAGTTGCTGCAGACGGACCCGCGACGGCGTCAGCGGCGGAACGCGAACGAGGGGAAGGAGACGGCGGGGACGCACCGAGACGAACTCGAACGGGTTCGCGGGCGTGGTGTTCTGCAGCGAGAGCGCCTGCACGCCCCGCGGGACGAGCCACATCGCGACCGGGGGCGCGACGTCCTTCGGGAGCGTCGCGGTCAGGCTCCGGAGGTTGAGCAGCGACGGGAGCACGCCCCAGACGGACGCGTCGTACCCCAGGCGCTGCAGCGCCCAGTCCGGGCTCGGGACGGTGAGCTGCAGCGAGCGCAGGTTCGTGCGGCCCCGGAGGAAGGCGGAGATCGCGGGGAAGAGGTCGCAGTCGCTGGCGCGGTAGTCGAGCAGGCCGAACGCGAAGTGGCGGAGGAAGGGGAGCGCGCTCGGGTTCTCGCGGAACTGCTGGCTCGCGGTGCACTCGAGGATGCACTCGAGCCGGAGGGACTCGAGCTGGAGGCCGCCCTGGAGGACGTCGGTGAACGCGCGGGAGTCGACGGGGAAGAGGCCCTGGAAGTCGAGGTGGGTCAGGTTCCGGATGCTGATCGCGTCCGCGGGGAACGCCCAGTTCGGGTTGTGCAGCGACAGGAAGCGGATCGACGGCTTGTTCTGCACCAGGAAGGCGTGCACCTGCGCCGTCGCGCCGCCGGTGCTGTGGTACGAGAACTGTTGGATATGCCTGAACCGCGGGAAGCGCAGCTCGCCCGTGCCGTCTGAGGGCCTAGATGCGCAGATAGCGGGTAAGGACCGTCAGCGAACGGCCCAGAGACAGCTGAGATACGCACATGAGCGAGAGGCCAGTGAGGCGGTGGCTGATGGTCTCCAGCACGCGCAGGAAGGCGAACATGTCCTTCCAGCGCATCCCGCAGTGGACGTTGCGCAAGTTGGTGAGCTTCGGGAGCGCGTTGGAGAGCATGCCGGTGTGGAACGTCATCGGAGAGGTCTCACGCCCGGGCACGAACACGCGGAGGGTCCGGACATGGCTCGCAAACGTCGCATCGGTGATAATCCGTGTGAGGAGGTCCGCACTCCGCTGGGAGTCGCGCTTCTCCGACGCTGCAGCGCCGTGGGGGACCGGGGGCCGGAGAAGGCGGGGGCACGATAGGAACGATAGGCCAGGGCGGGATGGACACAATCAGCATCAATTTAGGAGACCCGATCATGCGGGAGCCGCTCACAAAAGTGCATGTCGATCCTCTGGAACAGGAGTTCGCTGGCGATGCGGGAGAGGACGTGCGGGACCCCAAGCAAGGCCTTGAGGTCGCGCGGGGGGAGCCAGAGGGCGATTTCGCGCCATATCTCGGTGGAGAACTTGGGGGTGGTGTCCGGCTTGACGAGCGGCTTCGTGGAGTGCGGCATCGCGGTCGAGGCGAACCGCAACGGCATGAGCGGCGGGGGAGTGGGAAAGCGGGCGAGGGGGGGGCGCAGAAAAATCAGTGTCGTCGTGGCAAACGACAAGGAACGACGAGAAGGACAGACCTCGCCGGGCGTGGCAACGTGCTGCGCCATGAGCGCCGAGGCCTCCGGGTTCTGGGGCTGCAGCTCGAGTGCGGCGAGGATGTCTGTGGGGAGAGCGGGCGCGGCGCGGCGCGATCCGTGAGCGACCGGGGCGGGGGCGGGCCAGAACGGGCCAGACTGACCTTGGTGCGCGCCGACGTGCATGCCGGCGGCGAGCCGGGCCTTTGCGCGGATCAACCGCGCTTTTGCGGCGTTCGCCGCCGGTAACTTGGAGAGCGAGAGGCAGGACTGGACTGCGTTCTCTATCAGTGTCCGCGACCTGCCCAGGGCGAGGGCACAACGGGTGTGTATAGGCGCGGGCACGGGGTTTGTGGCGCGGAGTAGGATACACGCGCGGAAAATGAACTACGTATTAGACACGGCGGGTTTTAACGAAGGAAGCAAGGCGGGGACGGACCGGTCGAGGTTGAGGTGGGCCATGGCGTAGAGCAGGACGTCGGCCTTGTGCTCGTCGGAGAGGCAGCCGGTGACGTCGCGGATGCTGGCGTCGATGATCTTCGGGTTGAAGACGTTGCTCGTCCGAGCTGAGGACGTGCCGGTCGAGTTCGGGTTCAAGGTCGGCGGGTGTGGATACGAGGTCGGCGGGTGCGGGTGCTTGTGCGGGTGGGCGGCGTTGGGCACGGGCGACGAGAACGAGGGCGAGGACGGTGGGCTGTGCCCGAGGCCAGGGTAGGCACGGTGGTGCATGTCGACCGCCCGGACGCTCGCGGCTTAAATGTGTGCACGGGATGTCTTTTGATGGATGGGCCCGAGGTGGGCAAGGTGGTGATCAGACGCTAGACGGTGGCCCAGACCGATTTGTAGTCGCGAAATGGGGCGTGTGCGCTGGCGGGCGGCTGCTGCGAGTCGGCGAGGGGCTGAGGGGCGAGCTGGCGGGGTGGATTGCGGATGCAGACTGGAGATCCCAATCTTGCGGAGGATGCGTCCGTCGACCGTTGTCGTAGTCGTGAGAGAGGGGCCACGCTCAAGCCGTCGCGGACGAAGACGGGCGTCCCTCTCAAATGCCGCCGCGGACAGTGCCGCCCGCGCCCGACTCTGCGCCAGTGACGTACTAAACCACTGCTGAGGCCTGCTCGATAAACGAAAATTAAGTAGCTCGTGTGTCTGACCGCGGAGACCACCGCGGCAACCGACGCACCCGGAGACGGTTGCCAACGGGGATATGATGGGTTGCCGGGGGGATGCCTATTTCCAGGGGAGACCTGGCCAGAACATATCACTCTGCCTCGTGCCCGCTCTTCCTCCACGCACTAGTCCACATACACGACACAGCGCATGGCGAGTAGCACACCCCGCAACAAACGGAATGTGGAATTAGACTCACTGTGGAATCCGAAAGACCAAGGCGCTTCAGCTGAACCTGCGAAGTATTGCGAGCGCAAGGCAGGAAAGCGTGTCGAAGGAGCACAGAGGAAAACAGACGAGTAGAGTTTGGAGGGGGCAGCTTTAAATGCAGCCATCCGCTTTATATGCCAGTCGATGGAGTCAATCCGCGGAGGGAGGTGCAGCTCGTAAAGAGACCTGCCGTCCGTTATCGCCCAACAGACGAGCGCGAGTCGAAGATAGACGAACGGAACAGGGTCAGATTGGTGACGAGGGAGAGCCAAGCTGGGATTGGATCATACACACGTCGACATGGTACAGATATTGCTACAGGTCTAACAGACGTCCCTCCCCATCCCTCACCGCACCTCGCACCTCACGCGAACGACACTTCGTCTGCCCACGGCGCATGCCCAGATCCACCCATCATCGAGTTCGCCCCGTACATGTCCTCGTCCGCGCCCCAGCCGGAGTCGTCCTTCGCCTTCGTCGCCTTCGTCAGGTACTCCTTGCTCGTGTTCAGCGCACGCTCCGTCTCGGCCAACAGCGCGCTGTTGTGCTGTGCGGACACGAGCAATCGGTCCAGTTGGTCCTTCGAGAACTCGGGCACAGGGTCTGCGAACGTGACAGTGTCGTCCGCGGAGATGCTGCCGTTGATCTCGCCCGCGTCGATCTGCAGCAGAATAAACCTCATGTCAGCACAGAGCCCGATAATGATCACCGTTGGGAAGATCTGCTTGCGGGAGGCCGGCAAAACAGAAGACCACACTGGATCCACAAGGACTACAGTTACCATTGACAAGATCGTCTCCCTACACTGCTCCACGGTTTCGATGCCAGCTTGCTTCTTGATGTCACTCAACCCAAGCGTGAGGTACGTCGCAGTGAGCTTCTTGATCAGCCATACAGGGGCTCGCTCAATCGCCTGGTTCACAAGGCCCGTGTTCTGGTCCTGCATCCTTCATGAGCATCGCCCTCAATCGCGCCGCAGATGCACGACGACAGACCGTGTTGAGCATGTCCGCCTCCTTCGTCACCCACGTTCGGAGCACCGCCGTCGTAGAGGGGTAGTTCTTGATGAACGTGTTGTACGACGTGTTCTTGAAAATCCGCACCAGTGCGGGCAGCGTGTATTTTGGTGGCGGAACCGTCTGTCGGAAAACCGTTCGGTCAGCTCCATGCCCCCGCCCTGTGCCCAGCCCGCTCTCCTGCTGCCACAAAACGGGGTGTGCTCTGGCACGCATCACTCCTTCGTCCTCTGCGCCACGTCCCTCCATCCACGGATACACGGGCCACAAGGGAAGCTTACCTCGCCATACTGGATCAGCTGCACCAGCGCGAGCTTCTTGAACGCCTCGAGCTGAATGGCGGCGGGGACCTGCGCCGGCGCGCTCACGCAGATCTCGAAGAACTCTTCCGCTTCACGCCATCGCTTGAGCGCACCGAGCGCAACGCCGCCTGCGTAGTGGTAGACGAGGTGGTCGTTGTAGGTGAGGTCGGAGACCGAGGTGTCGACGTTCGTGATCGGCACCGAAAGCACTGGCAGCGCGGAGGCATAGTGGCCCGTGGCTACGCAAACCTAAAGGAGGAAATGGATGATCAGTGTCCCAACCGGGTGCATGCACGTATGCGTAGAAGGAGTGGATGTATGCAGTCGGACGGGCTCTTAGGAGCAGAATGCATGTGTGCGGGGAGGGAGAAAGATCGAGAGACACTCACCCGGACAAAGATTGGGTGCAGCGTTGTGAGGTAGCTGGGACTCGGCGGGTACCGCGCGACGAGGCTTGCTAGTGATCGAATGGCATACTTGGGCTGGAGATCAAGAAAGGAGAGAGCATCGTCAGTCTCGCGCTGCGCCACAACCGCGTCTCCCCCACTTCCTTCCTCCCCGCTCCCAGAACGCCTTCCAACCCTCCTAAAACGATGAGGATGATGGTACTCACGTTCGCCGACTGTTCTGCCACGCGCAGGATGCCCTTGGCGAGGAGAGTCACTGCTCCAAATCAGCGCCACCGACCACCCAGACCACGCACGCGCCCGCACGACGTACCGCGATCCGGGGCCAATCGCGCCTGCTCGGGCTCGAAGGTGCTGCAGAAGTCCTCGATGGCGGAGAGCGGTGGCGACGGCAGCGTCGAGCCCTGCAATCGGGCGGACCTGTGGGGGGGTGGCGCGGCCTGTGAGCCCGAGTCGACTCGCGGAAGGTGAGGAGGACGCACAGGATAAAGAGGTAGCCGAGCGTGTTCCGCACGGGGTCGAGGACGGCGAGCGGGTCTTGGCCGCTGCCGAGCGTGCTCGCGAGCACGGCGTCCCGGGTCTCCTTCTGCGCGAAGGTGCGGAGGAACTGGGCGAGCTGCGCGGTCGGGGGAGTGGTCGTGATCCGGGTCACGACATCGTCGAGCGAGACGAATGCTTGCGCGCCGTGCGCGGACGCTCCGACGGTGCTCATCGTGATGGTCGGGAGTAGGACGAAAGGAGGACGGAGAGGAGCAAGAGCTCGGGGGCGAGGATAGGGCTGCAGTGCGCTAGACGCCGAGGTATGTGGGCCTCGCGTCTTTGGGCGGCTATATGTTGCTGCTTGACTCAGACCGCGCACTCATAACACGCTACTTACTCTGTAGGTGGCTTGTGGTAAGGACCGAAGGTAAGCCACATTCATAAGTTCCATAATAGGTGCTGAGCGCGCGTTAGATGCTTTAAATGACGATGACATTCGCACCTTTTGCTCATATTGCATCTCAAGCCCTCGCCTCGCGTGGTCATAGTGCGCGATAGTACACGTGCAGGAAGCTTCCTCAAGGATTCCAGGTCAGCGGGCCGGTACTGATATCGATATCGTTCACGTTCTCATTTCAACATACAATGCGCGCATCATCTCACTGAACAATCAATATCTGACAACCTGCTTGAACAGGTATGTTCTTGCTAAGCGTCAGTGTTCAACTGCTCCTTCTGACCAACATATCTTCCATAGAAACTTTTCCACTGCGATGGAAGAAAATCTCGAAGAGCAGATTGCCCTCGCCTGGTCCCCGCCCGTGTATGACACGGGCCGAGTACCACACCAACTGCTTTCTGCTCAGTTCCCCGAAAACACCTCAGGAGAACCCGACGCACATAATCATACCATATTTGCTCGGTTTGCCAAATGGTATCCACGGCACAGAGGTCGCTCTCCGGCATCCCCTCACAGTTACATATTTTCATAGGTGTCCCGACGGCTCGGCCGCCCTCGCACAGTGCGAAGACAGGACATTCAGGTTCCTGCAGCTGTAAGTCGCATCAGCATCTTCCAGAACTGCTTAATAGCCTGTTCTGACCAGCCTCATGCAGGCCTCCTGAGCTGCTCGGAATAACCGCAGATGCCTCAAAACACGCCGCGCTGCCGGCATCGATCATGCAGCCTTCTCCCATACTCGACTTCGCGTGGTACCCGTCTGCTACCATCCACGACCCTGCATCCTTCTGTTTTGTGGCATCGGTCCGCGAGTGTCCTGTGAAGCTACTCGACGCCTCTGATGGAAGGGCAAGTCGCCTTTCGTCTCTTCGCGGGCTTTCGTGTACCATTAATACCCCGCCCATTATAGCTCCGCGCGTCCTATCGCATCGTTGATCACCGGGAACGCCAGATCGCTCCCCACAGTCTGGCATTCAACGTGGCCGCTAGCAGGTCCGTATATGTTCTCGCGACTCCCGTTTCCCCGGCCGTACGTAACCTGACGGCACTGGCCAGGCTCTATTGCGGCTTCGAGGACGCGATAGAGGTCTTCGACGTCCACCGTCCGGGCGAAGGCACACGTTTGCACATCACGCCGTCGAAAAAGAGCCGCGACGGTCTGAAAGGTGCGCCTGCTCGGTCCCAGGCCGAGGCGTCCCTGCTCACCCGCGCATCTGCGCCAGGGATCGTGTCTGCGCTCGCGTTCGCCCCTGACGTGTCGTCGGACCTGTACGCTGCAGGGACGCTCAACCCATCCGCGCCGACCTCATCAAACATCGCACTTTTCCAAGAAGCGGCGGGAGAAGCACCGGTGATGCTCGTCGGCGCAGAGGACACACACCCGGCCCCCGGCACGGGATATGGCGTCCGCGCGAGTGTCTCCCAGGTCCGTTTGGGCGACACGACGCATGCTCTGATGTCGCTGACGCGTGTGACAGCTCGCGTTCAATCCAGCGCGGCCGTACCTGCTGTACGCGTCCTTCCGGCGGACGGACACCATCTACGCCTGGGACCTGCGCGGCGACGTCACCCGCCCAGTGGCGCTCTACGACAAGTCCGCCGCGCCCAAAGGCTCCGCGCCCGCAGCGAAGACGAAGGCGAAGACGCAGACGAACCAGCGTCTGCGCTTCGACATCGACCTAGGCGGCACGCGGCTCGCCGTTGGGGACGAGGTCAGTCCCCATCCCCCGCTCCTCGCGGCCTTCGTCCCCCTTCACGGTCACACTGACCGACGCGCACTCCACGCCCCCTCTTCGACGCGACCACGCGCCCACGGCCATTTCCCCCGTGTCCGCCACGCGTGCAACACGCCCTCGCTGCGTGGTCGCGCCCCGCGCCCCGCGCCCACCCCACCCCACCCGGCGGACATGAACGCGCCTCGCGCCGTGCGCCTCGACTCCCGCCGGCAACTCATTTCCACGCGCACCGTCCCTGCACGCACTCACACACGCACGCACGCAGCGTGGCTGCATTTCCGTCTTCGACCTCACTGAACCCGAAACCGCCGCGGACGCAGGCGCGCGCACCCCGGCGCTCCAGTTCCACGCGCACGGCGGTGCGTGCTCCCCGCTCCCTTCCCTTCCGCTTCCCTGCGTCTCCCTGAGAGGCGGCGGGTTCGCGAACGGGATCCGACCCCGCTGATGATAGCGTGCCGTTCTTCACAGACGCGGTGGGCTCGGTGGCTTTCCACCCGCTCCACCCGCTCGCGCTCTCGGTGGCCGGCTCCCGCCACTTCGGGGGTGCCGCCGCCGCCGTGCGCGAGGGAGACTCGGATTCGAGTGAAGACTCGGACGAAGACTCGGACGAAGACGATGGCCCAGACGGAGACAGGATGGGGAGGGGGAAGGGCTCGCAGGTTCGGGCACCGTCAGCACGGCGACTAGGGAGATGGGGCAGGTCGGTTCCCCCGAGGGGGGGCAGGGGTGGGGTGGGAGCGCGGATTGTGCGGCTCCCGCGGAGGCGCAGGGGGCCAGTCGCTCTAGATGCGTCCGTGAAGCTCTGGAGGTTCGCGCACGATTGAGATAGGAACATTGAACAAGGGGATTGCATTCAGAGCACGGGAGCACAGGAGACGCGGTTACGTATGGGCCGGAGCGGGAAGGATAGCAGCGATAGAGAACGCAGAACGAGGCATAGCAAGGGAGGCAATAATGTATTGTTACGAGAGCGGGGCGTGAGCGACGATTTGGCAACGCGGTGGAGAACAAGTGGAGAACGGAAGGGGTGCGTGCGGAGAGGGCAGGGAAGCCCGGGTGCACAGGGGCGAGGGTGCAACAGGGCGCGAAGTTAAACGGGAGAAGAGAAGATCCAGAACCACGGTCACTCCCGGGGGCCCGCGCTCATTCGCACTCGTGCGCAGCGGCGTGCACGATGCCCACGGCGTCTCCCGGCGCGGCTTGAACACGCACTTGAACGGGCACGGGTACCTGTCGGCGACACAAATCAGCGTCAGGGTCGCAAATGGCCCCGAGCCTCTCAAGCTTGAGAGAGAACACGATGGGAGGGTACTCACGACACCAGGCCGCTCGTGTACTTGACCTCGGGCTCGATGACGTTCCCGTCCGCATCGACGCCCTTCTGGAGGTCAAACGTTGCGAGCACGGACGCGATCCCGATCCACGTCGAGCTGAGCGCGAGATGGCGGCCAGGGCAGATGCGCCGTCCGAAGCCAAAGGCGGCGAGTTCGGCATCGCGCATCTCCGGCCGCAGTTTCCCGTACTCGTCGATCCACCGCTCCGGGACGAATTCCTCCGGCTCTGGGAACACTGTCTCATTGTGCAAGATCGCCCTGGAGATCGCGTTGCCGTCAATGTCGGGTACGCGCGGAAGCAAGAAGCGGAACCCACCACGAGTTGCCCACCACGACGGACCCAGCGGGTAGAAGGTGGCCGTTATACACATCATCGTGTGTGAGGCGATGGGGCACGGCTGGGAAGGTGCAGTGAGCAGTCGTCTGTGAAGAAAAAATATTGCGACTAACCGAGAGGCGTAACCGGTTGCCACCTGTCACAGGCGTGATGAGTTGTGGCAAAATCAGCATGGACGGAGAACACACCTCAAGACCTCCTTCACAAGCGCCGTAACGTAAGGGAGGTCATCGGAGAAGTCGGGGAGGCGATCCGAGCCAACGACTCGGTCGACCTCAGCCTGGGCCTTGCGCTGGATTTCCGGATATTTGAGCATCGCGAGGAAGAACGTTCCCAGCGCTGAGACAGTCTGTAATGTGATGTGAGTGTTGCGTCCTCTGTATACGGTGATATGCACCAACCGTGTCGGAACCGCCTGTGGAACATGTGTGAATGAGCCCACCTGTCAAGGGGAGGACTGTCGTGAACACATACCGGTATATGCAGCAGCACCAACACCGCTGATCACGGTCTCCGGGGGCTTCCTGTCCTCTTCACCAGTCAATAGGGACGTGACTATGGATGGCACTGCTTTGCCCTCAGCCTGCAAGACGTAATTTTCATTTACAACGCCGGCGGGAGCGAACAGGTAAAACTTACCATGGCGTTCATCACCGCCTTGAACGGGCGCTCCACCATCGCATCCGTCGCCTTTTTCCACTCGGCGGCTTGACGCTTGAACTTCGCGCCAGGGAACCAGGCCGGGACGTATTTCACTGCAGATCAGTGAGCGAGTGAACGCAGAGTTACCAAAAACCTAAACGCACGCATGGGAATGGTATCGACCAAATAAGCCCCCGCGTTGCCGGCCATGGCCATGGCGTGCAGAGCTGTCTCCGCCGTAGCAATTATGGGTCGTCCTTGGGTCGGACATCAATCCCATAGACGGTCCCTAGGATGAGTGAACCAGCCATGCTGCAGGCAACCAATATATCAGGCGCGCCTGTCAGAAAATGCACAGTGGAATCACTCACTGCCGAAGGTGCACCATAAAGTCATCTGGAGTGTCGAGCAGTCGGAGCAAAAGCTCGCGTGCAACTTTGAGCGTGCGCGGGCGATACTCGATCGTCGCGTTCGGGTGGAAGTACTGGTGGAAGACGCGCCGGCGTTCTCGCCAGCTGTCGCCATAGCCCATGAAGACAAAGTGCCAGTCGCAGCCGACGCTACGTAACAATTCAGTTAGCAATCTATATTGAACGATGATGGGCGCTGCGCCTTACAGCTCGTTTAGCATTGGAAGCCGTGTCCTGGAGCGCATAAATGAATAGTGAGACGTGCAATTGGTCCTGTGGACGCTCAGGAACAGCACCTGTCTGAGTATAGAGAAGACTTCTTTTCGAAGAGCTCATGCGCGGCTTCCGCCGAGTTGACCACGAGCACGGGGGTACCCGCAAGGTTGAGGTAAATGACGTCGGATCCTGTCGAAGAATCCTCGAGTGAGAACGCGACACGCAAAAATAACACAGGGACCGACGGTATTCCCGGCTCCAGCGATCGTACGTGAGCCACTCGAAGTCCTTAGGGACGTCGAAGATGTTGCCGAGGATGGGGACGCCCTTGGGACCTGGAGGAAGCGAGCGCCGGCGGCGCCATGACGAAACGGCGACGATGGCGAGAGCAACGGCGACGAGGGCGAGGGTGCGGGGGTCGAGAAGCGACATCGCAGGAAGTGAGGGGGGATGACGATTCTGCTCTCGAAGCAGGCGTATTTATCGCTTTCAACGGATGCCTCCGCGATTCGCGATGGCCCTCCAAACGTTCCCATACCAGCAGGTTCGGCTCGGGTGGAGATGGAACTGGGCGCGCAGCCGTAGGAACGGGGTAGTGCCGAAGAAGCGTTACGAAAGTGTTCATCTGGTGGGTGTCCCAGGGGGCGTCGGCTCCCTTGGATGGTTGCGAAGACCTGCTGGATATGTCCCGAGTGTTCCCGGGGGAGGACGATGCGCGTGGCCGGCATAATCCTTAGGTAAATGGTGAGAACAGCACAGTGGGAGGCAACTGGTGACACGAACCCACAGGGGCCGTGGCCACGGGAGCGCACGATCTCTGGATTGCTCTTAATTTTGGCGCGAAGTGCCGGGATTGACCTGGACGCCGGTTCTGGAAGCAGGAGGCTAGAAGCCTCTGCGCCGCGCGCTCAGTGGCCAGAACGGAGCGGCCGGGGGCTCGCGCGCGTTCCCATGCACCAAGCCTGTATGCGAAAAGAGAAGCCTCCGGAGAGTGGTGGCCTGACACCATCGGTGCGGCAGCCCTCGCTTTTTGCCATGCGCGAGTGCATATGAAAGGCACGAGGGCCGGGGATATGTAACGATTGGGCACATAGACTGAATGATATGCTACACTGACCTCACAGACGGCGTGAATCGATGGGGTGCGATAGTGCCATGACTACCTTGCCCCGCTGTGTGTTTTTGTCCTGCTCAACCCCCACGACCACCTTGACTTTGTCGAACACCGCGATCGTGACATCTTTCCCTTCCCCGGGCACGGTGATTGTGTAGTTATCTGCGTCGAATTGGATCCCGCGCTTGAACGTGACAAGGCCTTCTATGCCAAGCCTGTTCAAAGGTTATCGTCAGAATTCACACGAGGTGATAAACGCCGATAAGCGCCCACGTACTTGGACACGAACACACCGAGGCCATTTCGGAACGTCCGGATAACGAACGCGTCTTCAGTGACGACCCCCTTGCTGCTCCGGGCCTTGAGGGCGAGGCCAACGTAGAACTCGACACTCGCTCGGCTCGCCATTTGCGCCATCCGGTGTCTTTTGTTCACCACTTCGAGCACTCGTTCGACGTGTGACTTGGAGTGAAGGCTGGGGTGCAGCGGCGTGTACCCGATTGCCGCAGACAGCTGGCGGTGGGCCAAGACATCTGTGAGAACAAAGAGAGAGACAGATTCAGGAGGTGTCGATCGCGGTCGCTGCCAACGTGCAGACTAGAACGAGTATCGTACCTGCATAGCGCCTGATCGGACTCGTGAAATGAGTATAGATGGCACTTGCCAAGCCATAATGGCCAAACGTGTCATGGGCCACACTGCCTGAGCAGAAGTACTCCGCCGACAGCATGCACCGGGTAGCCATGATTCTCACGAGCGTATTGAATGCCGGCTCTTCTGGGTCCTGAATTTGGAGTCGAGTCGAAGAGAACGGTACTTATCAGATGGTGCTTACCACGCAACGGTCGAGCGACGCAGCTAGAGCACCGGAACTGGAGACATCAAGTGCCAGTCCCTTTCGCCTCTTGAGAATGTCTTGCAACTTCTCGAAGTTGATATGTGGGGGTGGCAAGTGGCGTCTGTGGACGGTTCATGAGACGCGACTCTGAGGCACGAAGGTGCAAAGCGTACCGGAGCACGGCGGTCTGGGAGAATGTCTCCTGGATCTTGCCAGCGACGCTGATGTTCGCGAGAAGCATGAACTCCTCGACCAGGCTGTTCGTCTCCCGCAGCTCCTTCTGCTCCACGTCGACGGGGTCGGAAGACTCGGCGCTGTCCAGATGGATTTTCACTTCGGGTGATGCGAGGTTGAGCGCTCCGGCCTTCATCCGGCCTTCTTTCAGCTTCTTCGCAAGATGATTCAAGAGTCGGATGCTCTCGGTGAGCCCATCCATCTGTTTCCTGAGGATATGATAAGCCACCGAGCAGTCTCTCGCGGACGCAATGGGTGTCCACGCACGGGTCATCTTTGCGGATTTGGGCTTCCTCGTACGTAAACGCCGATTTCGAGGCAATTACGGACTTGATAAAGCGCACGTTGACGATCTCCGCCTCGGGTGACAGTTCCTGGGAGTCGGAATCAGCAAAGTCAATAGATTAGCGGGGCGCGGATACAAACCCATATCACCGAAAACGCCAACCGCTCCACATGCGGGCGCAGGGAGCAGAGATTGGTGCCGAGTAGAGCGGGGAGCATGTCAATGCGCTTGTCAACCAGGTAAACGGTCGTTCCACGTGCCGCCGCTTCGTGGTCCATTGGGGTATCCGGATGAACAAAGTGGGACACATCGGCGATGTCTGGGCCGAATGTCAGCTGGCTGCTGACGGAAGTGAACGCGGGACTGTGGCGGACGTACGGACGCCAGCCTCGATGTTTCCATTCGGCAGACGGCGCGCGTGTAGAGCGTCGTCGATGTCCTGGCACCCTGAGCGGAAGTACGTCAACGAGCTTGCTGCGCATGGGCCACGTGAGCGACACGCACCTGGAGGGTCAATGCTGCAGATGATCATATCTCGCAAGTCCTCTCGGTCCCGCCAGTTTGGGTTGGTGGCGTCCTTCGGCGGCACAACCCATTTATCGCCTTCTGGGGGTAGGCAGTCAAGAATGGCCTTTCCGAATGGCCTATACGGCACATCGAACTCAAGCAACAAGCTCTCCTGCTCGGCTTCTTTGCTTTGAACTTTGCCTAGAGCTCGGACAAAGTGTCCCTCCGGGTACCGCGAGGTACGTTCCCATCGGTCGATTGTGACTAGAATCTTCTGACCAATAAGCGCGGGGGCTTGGCGGGTTCGTAGGCGAATGCGTGGAAGAAGGCGGGAAACTGGGGTGGCGAAGACCGTCTGCTGAGACAGTGACGTCGTGTTCGTCGAGGTCAATGACGTGCTATCGATATGACAGACGTATCTGCGAGGTGAATGGACATTGGAAAATGGTACTGGATTAGTGACGGGGACTTCCACAGGACAGGAACGTACGATCTCCAATTCCGCTTGATGATGCCGACCACGCGGCCGGTGGGCTGCCTACTAGAAGCCGCCTGTCTGACCGCTTCTTCCCGGAGAACCTTGCGTTCCGCGACCACTTCATCGTCCTCTGGCTCCTCGTCGGAATTTTCTGCGTCGTCGTTTTTAAGCGTAGCTATTCAGAGGTAAATATTCTGTGTCCCGCCAGCACTGGAGGATTTTACCTTCCTGGTCCACCACCTCGTCACCAGGGGCCTTCCACTCTTTTTCGTCGAAAACTTCGACGGCGACAACGTCACCCTGTACAGCCCTATTCATATGCTCCCGCCCGACAAGCAAGACCGCGCGGTCGAAGCCTGAAACGGGGACGCTCCCCTGGTAACGCGGTCTCAATCCCGCTCAGTAAGAAAAGGGAAACGGATCTCACCTCGAGATAGTTATACTGATTTGCGTTAAAATGCCCTTGATGAAGTTGTCCGGACTTGACACCAGCGAGCAGCGTAGCCATTGACATATACTACAACTTCTCAGTGTCAGATTGTAGGTGGACTGGCCTGAGAACGCACCTCCGGGTACAGTGCGCTGCGAGCTGCGACCGCCGCAGTGGCATCTAGGCCATCATTACCCGCTGCCGACAACAGATCTAGAAGCTGGCTAGACTCCTTCATGCACTCAACATACTTCCTCACTGCAACGGGTCAGAAGGCCGTTCCAGTTGGGTAATTGCGCGACCGGACACACCTGATAAGCACGTCAGGCCCTCTTTCTCCGCCTTCTGCCGGTTGGCGGCATCGTCGGTGAGCAACACGATGGACGGAAGCGGTGGCACCGATTGGCCGCGAACGGCAGGGCGAGCAAGCGCGAGATGGCTCTTGTACCACGACGTCGCTTTGCGGATCCCTGCGACCGTGGGTTAAGTGAGGTACGCGGCTTGGCATGAGAACAGGGAAGCACCTCGATCGTTGCGGTCGTTGGGAGACTCGCCTTCCTCCCGGATGATTGCCGTTTCTCTGGGAGGGCGAGGTCTATTTTTGCCAGATACAGTGGGGTGATTTACTTACGAGCGATATTCGTTGTAGAAAACCCAGATTTTCTTGTCGTCAGCCTTGACAAGGGCCTTCAGACGATTGTATAGAGGCAGTGAACGATGTCGGACTTCTTCCATTACGGTCTGAAGCAGTATGGTTGGGGGGTTGAATGACGAAGATTCCATTAAGTCCATCTATATGCGTATCATATAAGCAACACGGCTCGTAGATCCCCCTTACACACCACGGAAACAAAGACGACAATGGGGAGAAATAGGAGTAGATTGATGCACGAGAGGAATGGTTATATGCGTGACGAACCTGCCCGAGGAAAATGTTCGTGTCTGGGATAATGAAATGACCGTCCGGGAACGACGGGTGACCCAACGACCCAGAGGAGGGGAGAACGACGTCCTTGTCACTGGTGCAAATGCCGCAGCTATGGATTCCACAAGCAACATCATCACGCAGGTATCGTTCGCGTAACACTTTGCGTGGTTTAACTGCGGGGTTACAAAAGCATCGCGGAGGGGAGACGTACCTTTGATGACCTTCCCCCTCGCAGTTTTCTTGAAGAACTTCCGTTGCGTTACCACCGCCTCCGTACGTGGACGTTTACGAATAGTGATTTCGACCATAGCCCACAGTGCGGAGCAGTGGGAGGAGGAGGAGGAGGGGAAGGAAGAGGAGGACTAAATCAGTATATGCGATATTCCCGCCGCCCCCTGCCGCCGGGCCCCGGCTCCGGACGGAGATCAAAATGTAGCCGCGGAGATTGGAGTTTGAAGTAGCGCCGGGGGGGGCGATCCGCGACTCCGAGCGGCGAGACTCGAGTCCGCCTCAAATAACGCTAATGCTCGAGCGCGTCGACCAGGAGGCAGATGGTGCCCATTCCCCAAGGCACTGCATGTTACTAGAAATTCAAGCCTTGACAAGGGGCAACCGGTCAATACAGCGCGCGGCAAAGTCAACATGCTTTTTAATCAGTGAGATCTTACATAACAAGCCCTATTGGTGAGACGAGAATCGCGTTCCGCTTTTCCTTTACCAAAGCATGTCGCTGTACCTCCGAATCCAATCTACTCATTCTTGATCTCCACTTGCTGTTTTCTTCCACACAAAATCTTGAACTTTTTCTAGACTATTGCGACAACCGTGCACGTAGTCTCGCGCCTTCCCAGCGTGTTACGTAGCGTTCGGGGTGTAAATGCTCACGAATCTTGAACAAGTTTACAAACGAGCCTATTATAAACGCGTTTATTAACGTATATATAAACCGGTTCATAAACAAGGATGGGCGCTTCATCTCAACTACATAGCTACGAACGAAAAGTCCCATGAGATGAGTACAATGGCATGTGGTGACGCTCTGCGAGCCCTCGGCGCCGGATGACGCGTGACGGCGCCCTTGCACGCGTTTTCCGAGCGCCGGAAATCGGCGCATCTGCGAGAAAGTCGACGTTCACCAATGTGCTACTTACCCTCCACCCACTCCCGGTGTGCGCATTCTGGGACGAAAGCTTCTGGCGTGAGATCAGCAACTCATTGTCAGCGACTCGAGGACCATCGTCTTCAGAATCGCCGACTCAACCATAGCCTCCGCATCTTCGGCATCGACATTGACTGCTGGATGGTCGGCACTTCTCTCAGTGCCGGTGCTGCTATTCGGCGACGTCTTCGACAGCCTTCGTAGCTCGTGGAATTTTACAACGAGCCGATGAGGTTTGGCCCACCATGAAACTCGAAGTATCAGCAAATCGTACCGTTGTTTTACTTGGTTCAAGATACATACAATGGTGGGACGCTGCCGTGTGCCGCCAGAGCCGAACGACAGGGCAGGGACCACACTGACGTCCTCCGGGGGCCAGTGAGACCTCGAGATTGCATTTAAGGACAACAGCATTTGAGCTGCAATCGCCAAGCATTTCGGGGTCGCAATTCGAGCTGCGGAAGTCGCAAGGAGATGTAGCGGAGTCGGCGGGAGGGATGGTCGATGGGAGAACATCTGAACACATGCGGAGTATTCAGTCGCAGAACCAGAGTGTTGGGGAGTGACACAGAAGGAGACATCATGATGCGTGGGGGCGAACATGGAGGCAGAAATCAGACTCGCCTTTGAAGCCGCATCTTCAAGCGTGTTTGACGATCTCAACTCAAAATTCCAGATATTCTCGGCGACATCCAAGACCGGGCGTCGAACCGGGCGACTACGCCCCGACAAGACCATGTGCTGCTCGGGGCACATCTGGTTAGTAGAACTGCTAGGACAGGTGCACACGAAGTCAAAAGAGCAATGCACTACCAGTGAAACAGATGATAGCTGGAGCGGAGCAGCAGCCCAATTCTGGTCCAGTCGTAGCCATCAGCGAGGATTGAGGGTCGCGAGCCGGGCGAGAAAGGGGGCGATAGTATGGCGCGACGCGTCGCGATGACGGTGGAAACCCATGGGCGGTGGAAAGGAGCAAGGGACGGAGGAGGAGGCCGGGAGAGGACCCCCGAAAGCGCCTATAGAGGGACCGCCGACAAACGCCCATTTTTGCGACTTTCATGTCCGGACTATTTGAGGTCCCACGTCCGGACTTTCGGCGGTCCTCCAGCACCAGGGCGGTTGCCCGTCCGGACCGTTCGGCAGTCCTCCAGGAGCGCTTTACGGGCGCTAATTCGTGTTTTCGCCGCAAAAAGTCTTCAAACCCCGCGAAAAGCTCATCGCAGCTGCTCAGAGCAAGGTGGCATGGAATGAACAGAGAAATTTGTTGTACTTAGCGGGAATTCTCGACCTGTGCGCAAAAGTGGGCTGTTGAATTCTGATTGACGCCGGGATGATTACTAAATGATGCTTTAAAGCTTTATTGACTCCCTCCAATAAGTGTTTCAACTGAGTAATAGCTTTGAACAAACCCTCCTCCCACTTCCCGCATCGGCGCCTACCTCAGGTCTTACTTGGCTGATGTCCGGGCTTCGGCAGACCCTTCCCGGCCCCTTCAAGGTCATGTCCGGACCTTCGGCAGCCATGCAGTCGGGACAAGCCCTCCGGATGTCCGGATGGCGACCGGTCCGAGGGCCAAAAATCGTCAAATCGTGTCCGGATGGTCGGCGGTCCCTCTATAGGCGCTTTCGGGGGTCCTGCCGGGAGTCGTGCGGCTCACGTCGCGGGCGCGTCCATGCTGATGCTATCCCTCAGGCGCCTGTAACTTTCTCGTTTATAAACATATGAAAACGGCTGCTCAATGCGGCCTATTACACACGCGTTTATAAACGCTGTTAACAAACCGTTAATGAAAGTTCGTTAAAGTTCTTTTAAATAAACCCCGAACATTAGTGTTACGGCAGACTTGACGAAGCTCCGCACGCACGTTCGACCTTCATGCTGTGATACTCTATGCCTGCTACGCCTCAGAGGCTGCTGACGACTACCATGCACCTCCACGCGCTCAAGAGCACGCTTTTGGGTGCCCCGGTGCTGTACTCACTTGTTGCACTGGCTCTCGGAGCCTCCAGCAACGTGGATTCCTCGGTCTCCATTGGCGATGGACTCCTCGCGTCGGCCAACGGTGTCTACAACTCCTCAATCACTCCGTCGGATCTCCCGTGGAACACATACAACTACTGCAACGCGCCGCATGTGAACGGGCAGCATTATACCAAGCCTACAAATGCGTCGCACGCGAAGCTCGTGTACTTGAACGCGGTCATTCGTCACCATAAGGTGTGTTCTCTTGTTCTGTTCGAGCATGTGAGCCTGTGCGATGCGGTGGGCAGCGTTAGGCGGGATAACGGGCGTTGCGGAGGAAACGAGTGCACGTATCGTGACCCTGGCTATGTGCCCATGCTGACGTCGGTGGGATGTTAGCGGACGCCGGACAACCTGTACCCTTCGGAAAACGAGCTCAACGCGTTGCCCTGGGACTGCACCGACTTCCCGCAATTCAGCTATGGTACGAATGCGGACACAGCGCGAGTCTTTCACAACACCAATAGCCCGTCATGGCATCCCTTCCTCTCACTCTTTTGGAATGGCACCTGCGACGGGGGACAGCTTACCCGTGGCGGTCTAGATGACGCGGTCAAACATGGCAAGGTGCGTATACACCGATGTCTATCGTTTCCCGCGCGTCAATGACTGTGCATGCCAGGACTTTTGGTCCGTTTATCACAACAAACTGGGCTTTCTGAAGAAGGTCGACGAGGAGGATATCCTCGTTCGCACGTCAGCGGCTACACGCACGTTTCAGGTAGCAGGCGGCTTGCTTTTTGGTATGGATCCCAATATGGCGGTCAAGGACTTCCCAGTGACTACTCAGCCCGAAAACGTGCGTCGAAGCAGCGTTATGTATAGACGCCACTGTGAGAGCTGACAATATGCGTTCGGATAGATTGACTCCATTCCACCCAGCTATCCGTGCCCCAATGCAGACGCCATCCGCAACGCGTATCAGAGTGTGCCCGCTTGGACGGATCATCTACAGCAGAACAACGATCTCCGTGTCCGTCTGGGAGAGGCTCTGGGCACTCTCGGGATGAACGCCTGGGAATCATGGTGTAAGTGTTCGGCTTCGTGATCGCAGAAGCTCGGAAACCAAAGCAGACTGACCGGGTATCCCGACAGACGATCATTACTTCGACACGTTCACCTCGCGTACCTGCCACAACCATCCTCTTCCCTGCAACTCCACTGGCACTTGCGTCTCAAACGCCGATGCCGCCAGAGTGTTTGCTCTCGGCGATTTCGAATACAAGTGAGTCGGTGCGTTCTATACACGTGTTCTCGTACTGAACACGTTGCGGTAGTTATATCTGGAACACCGCGGAGAACTCAACGACCTACAGCCAGCTGAACTTCGGTACGTTACTGGTGAATCTTTAGAGCGGCTATGGTTCGCTCACGTATATGTAAACAGGCGTTTTTATGCTTGAGCTCGCCCATAACCTCAAACTCTTCCAGGCTGGTGAAGAGACTTTCAAGCTCCGATTTTATGTTGGCCATGATGGCTCCATGATCCGCCTTGCTGCCCTCCTCGGGCTCGGGAAGAACGGCGCACTGCGTTGGCCCGCGCTTGGATCAGAGATTGTCTTGGAGGTGAGTTTCCGGGCGCACTCGATGTGATTTATTTGTTTCTAACAAAAGCAACCAGGTGTGGGAAACGATTGACAAGAATATGTTCGTACGCGTCATGCATGAAGGTACTCCAGTGCCCAATCTTGAGTGGACAGCTTTACACGACTTCATCAAGAGCATTGAAGCGCAGATCCCCGACAATATTTTCCAAGCCTGTGTGGGTTCTTAGGTGTCTGCTTGTTGTATCTAGTCCTGCATCCATAGTAGAATCGTTATCCCACCGTTGTTGACTGCATGAGTTCAACGCCCCAACACAAAGCTTGAATATTTGAGTATTACCAGTGTTTATGCCAAGCCGAGCTCGTGTCGTGGCCACATTGGGCGTCTACATTGCAGCGCGTCAGCGGTCCCTGTCCGCACGGCGGCGCGGGCTCTAGCTGCAGACCTCTTCCCCTCTCCCCTTCACCCTCTGGTTTCCACCCGCCCCCGGCAGCCTCCATGAGGCTCACCGCGCTCCCTCTCTTGATACTCTGCGGGTGCGCCCGCGCGCTGCACTCGTACGAGGTCGGCGTCACCGACTGGCACAAGGCCCTCGCTGGCGTCCCACTCACCCAGTCCGCGGCCACCGCGCCGGTCTTCCACCGGCGTACGCTCGCGAACGGCGGTTCAAGCAGTGTGGTGCTCACCGCGACGGAGAGTAACGTTCTCGCGGCGGTGCACTCGGCGAACGGTTCTTTGGGTGAGTCGCGCGCATACAGCGAGAGGGGAGGGCTGAGCTCACGGCGCGGTCAAGGATAGCGTGGCGCCATCTCTTCGATGATGATGATCATATACTGGGATTCAAAAGACATGACGATGGTGAGTATATGCTTTTTGTGGCATAGTGCGTGAGGTTTGGTGTGGGCAGCATGTTGGCCCTACGCTATATGCGCGCTCTCCGCGGGACAATACGTGCGCGTATGCTGTATTCATTAGCCGGAGGGACAATTGAGGATGTAGCGTCGTTGAGCCCACATAGTTGTACCGGTCCTGCATCGGACATACACGTACCCCAGCGCGTGTACCAGTGCGCTTACCCACGTCGCACTTCTTTTTGCCTTTCTTTGCGCTTAGATGGACTAATTTGTTTTTAGTTGTCGCGACACTGTCTGGTCCAGGAGGAGCTCATCTCCGCACATTTGATCCTTCTACCGGCCACTTGCTGTTCGAGAACAAGCTGCATGCTCCGGACGCTGGTCTCCTTGAACAGCCTGAAGACCTCGGCACGGCGGTCACGTTTGACAGCGAAGGCAAAGACATTTACGTCCTCTCCAATGGGCACATCTTGCGCCGGTTCGACCGCCATGCCGGGACGCTAACGTGGGGATGGACTGCTCCTGACCAGACGTACGCACTCATACTTCCTATGGTTTCGGCAATTGGTTTTCTAATATACCTGCAGATCATCCGTCATCTATTCTAAGATATTTGTGACGCCCGAAACCGTCTATCTCCTCGGACTCACTAAGTCCTTCGCGTCGTACCAGCTACACGTTGCTTCACTATCCACAGAGACGGGCGAGCTCATCCAATCTGGCGACTACCCTACCAATCTACCCACTGGGCTCTCACAGGTCTTCGTGCTGTCCCACCACGCGGTTCCCGACATCCCTCCCAGAGTTGTCATGCTCGAAGATAACACTATCAAGTCCTTCCCGCTGGTTCCCGATCTCAAAACGAAGCTTACTCCTGTGAAGGGTTCTTACAAGAGCATCCAAGATGTCGGGGTCGCTGGGCACGGGCAATTTATTGCAACCGCCGAGGACGGCACTGGGTGTGTTCTCGGTCTCAACAAGTTGAGTTTGAACGTCATCTGGCAATTCTCGGACTCTGTACGTGTGTTCTTGCCGCCTGTGTGCTTCTTTCATCTGATCGGTCTTCTACAGTCGACATCTCCAACGCGCTCCGGGTCTCTGTATGCGGGTGGTGTCGACATCGATGGAAATCCGTACATTGCACGCGTCTTCTGGCTTCACACACTGAAGGCAAGCCGTATGGTTGCGTCTTCTTGGGCGTCGAGATTGACACGAGTTTAGCTTGCCTCTTCCCATGTATTCGCATCGCACCTTGCGAATGGCAAGGGTCTCGTCACTGGTTATACGTTCCCATTCCAAACGGGCGATCATGGCATAATCAAACATGTGCGTCCTTCTTCCAGCGGGGACTTATCTTCATAACTAATCATGATGTCGTAGATTGCAGTCGAGACCGCTAATCCTGAAGAATTCAAGGTCCTCTCGAGGCTGGTTCTGACCACAACAACCGGGGCGGTCCAGCTATGGCAGCAAGACCAGATGCAGTGGTCGCGCGAAGAGGGTCTTTCTGATATTCGGATTGCCGAGCTCGTCGAACTCCCCGAACGCAAGGTCGCGGCCCAAGTCGATCTGGAGCAAGACATCTTCAGTACTCGCCTTGCGCGACAACTGCTTGACGCTCAGGTACGCAACGTTCGTTCATGTCAGTGTCAGAAGTCTATTTCCGCTGAACGCCATGACTCCACAGGACTTCCCGCAATACGCCGTTAACTTTGTGCGCCGATTCGTTACGGGCTCGTACGCATCCGTGAGCGCGCCTGTCGCGGCGCCCGTGAATGTGTCCGAGCCCCTATCGCGCGATACCTTCGGCTTCAGGAAAGTCATCGTAGCGGCCACTGGGCATGGGAAGGTGTACGGTCTCGATTCAGCGAATGGAGCCATTATGTGGAGCCGTGTGTTTGGACTGGGGTGGGCGGCTAAGGTCGGGGGGAAGATCATCCCTGCGAAGTCGTTCATCATCCGGACGGCGAGCGATGGAGAAGGAGAGGCTCCCCAGGTCGCAATCGTTACTCAGCGCAAGGCCAGTAACGTGAGTTCGACTATTTTACTCGTAGTCTTTAGTGCTAATGGGCGCCCCAGGGCCTCGTTGATACCGTGCTTTTCCACATCGATGCACTTACGGGCCGCGATGCAAGAGCCGACGGGACGCACGAGGACCTTCTCAACGGTCATGATATCGTGTCAGGACCGCTCGTCGAGGTCTACTCGCTCAAGACCGAGTCTGCACGGGTTATCGTGCACCTTGACGAGTTCCTCCAGGTCCACCTGTACCCCAACACAGACGAGGCACGCCTTGCCTTCGAGAACGTCGCCGAGAGCCTTCGCATTCCCCTCCGAACAGGCCCCCCAGGCCAGCGCCAGCTTACCGGTCATCAGGTCCCGCCGAAGGTGGAGTTCACCGGCCGGCACATCGCGTATCCGACATGGTCGCTGCCTTTCCCCCACACGAGGACGTGCGCTACCTCTTCTCGCGCCCCACCGACCAGCCCGTCGCCTCGCTGGGCAAGGTGCTCGGTAATCGCACGACGCTGTACAAGTACCTCAACCCAAACCTCGTGGGTGTCGTCACTGGACCCGCGGCTGGCGCTCCGCGCTCTGACAGGACAGCCTGCGCGCTGTACCTCGTTGACGGTGCCAAGGGCACGGTCATCTACCACACGGTGCTACCGGCGGCCGATGGCGAGTGCACAGTTCAAGCGACGCTGGTGGAAAACTGGCTTGTGTATCACTACTACGATCCTGAGGTCGGGGTGAATCAGGCGAAGACCTGGCGCATGGTGTCGGTCGAGCTGTACGAGGGGAATGGGCCAGACGACAAGATAAAGAGGTATGATATGTCGCGCAACATGATACAGCTGTACGAAGCTCACCGTGTTCTTTCCAGCTCGGATCTATCTTCGTTCAGCAACGAGACAATGTCCGTGAGCGTGTACGAGCAAGCGTTCATCTTTTCCCCGTGGGATCCGCACCGTTGCGTCCACGTCAACGACCTACGGCATCACGATCAAGGATCTTATCAGTATGTCCAGCTCACTTCATGTGTCGAGTGTATTGCCGACGATGCGATGTTCGTTGCAGTCGCGAACCAGAACAACCAGGTCCAGGTCCTGCAACGGCGCTTCCTCGACCCTCGGAGACCAAAACAAAAGCCGACAGCCCAGGAGATGGAAGAGTGGCTGATCCAGTACGACCCAGTCCTCCCCGACGACCCGAAGCGCGTTCTATCCCACAACTACCAGGTCTGTTTCTGCGTCTTCCCCTCGTTCGTTCCGCACTGACCCTTCTTCGTGTAGGTCGCGAAGGTGCGCAAGATCGTGACGTCACCGGCGCTCCTTGAGTCGACGTCGCTGGTGTTCGCGTACGGGCTCGACCTCTTCTTCTCGCGCGTCGCGCCATCGAACACGTTCGACGTCCTCAGCGAGAGCTTCAACAAGACCCAGCTGGTCGTGACCATCGCCGGCCTTGCGCTCGCGATAGCGATTGTGAAGCCGATCGTCACGCGCAAGCGCCTGCGGGAACGGTGGTATGACTGAGCGCCTCGCCAGTGGTTGTCCCCGTACTTGCTCGTCCTACACTAAGTTAATGTGGTTGTATAACGTAGACGTTGCTTTGGTGCTGTCTGAAACGATTGCGTGTCTTCTCCTGATGAAGGCTTTTATATCGTAGTATGTGAATGGTGGTATAGTGCAACGATGTTCGCAAAGTCTCTAGTCCGAGGCTTTTGGTTCACTAGTAACTCCTGTTCCGTTGAGTCCAAGATAATTGAACGCTGCACTGCTCACTAAGAATATACGAAAAGCCAACAGTAACGGACGAGGATACATCATCTATGTGTGACGCAATGTATCGCGCAAGGGGAAGATACACGAAAACATTACGCACCGTACCACGCGCTTGGAGAGCGCACACAGTGCGCCCCGATAGCTCACGCCGGCTGCTCGATGCAGACCTTGAGGAGCTGACCCGCACGCTTGCCGTGGCGCGGAGAATGGGAGTTGTAGAAGAGGGGCAGGAGCGAGTGCATATTCGTCGCGGTCAGAGTCAAGATCAGGTGCGTGCTCGACGGTCGGGGCCGTAGTACCGTAGGACTCAGGAGGAGGTGAGGAGACCAGTCTGGATTGTCACTACAAGAGCGGGTGTGGGCGAGCACAGAAACCTAAACCTATGCGTAACGGTTCAGGAAAGGTCACTTCCAGCAGGCGAACGGCCAGCACACCAGGCTTCGAAGAGATGTGTATCTGCTTCATGCTCGGCGACATTGAGATCTGCGTGGGACGGCGAGGTAACATACCGGTGTACTCGCGCGAGTGTGCACGATGGCGGCGAGGGGCGCGCTAGCGTGCACGAGGTGCCTCCTTGAAGTCCCTCAATCAGGAGCACGGCGACCCGCGTGTAGCAGTGGGTATCGAGCAATAGGAACCGAGCTCGACAGAGACCCGGTCACGGGCTCTCGCCGGCACACAGGAGTTCCATGAGAACACGTTTGTGCGAAGCGATGGCCCATGCCTACAATCAAAGAGAATTCTGACCGTAACAGTTCAAGGGCAGGGAGTAAAGTTTCGAACATCTGGAAACGGCAATGGGCGCTCCGCATTCCCGCGACGCCCAGGTCGTTGTGAGGCCTGCCGTTTCCACCTCCAGGGTTCTCCAGGGTCGCCGGGCTGCAGCGGGCTGCGTGCGCTACCAAATTACCGCCGTCGAAAAATCTGATTGAGTCTCGGCCACAAGCGAGCGAGGCCCGCCAATTGTTCGAACGTCAAGGGCCAGGAACACCGACAAACCTGCTACATGATGAAGAGGTCGATTTCCATCGGCCGTAAGTCTCGGTAAGTGCCATCGCGATTCGCGGGAGGTCGATGAACACGCGGCACTGCTGCGGGCGCCGTCGGACACGGTGTTTTGTCATACCCGGTCTCGTCTAGTCTCGGTTCCAGCCGCTCTCTCGCCGGCCGGGGGACCCGGAAGACTTGCACTTGCCGGGGCTGTGGCGCATCTGTGCGCCGCGCTGCAACGATACTTAGGTCGGCGTGCGCGACGTCGCATCGAACCGCTGGTTGCGGTGGCGCACGACGAAGACGCGCGTTCAGTCGCACATCCGACGTTCGCCGATCTTGACTACGGCCGAGGAGTGGGCACGCCTAGACGAATGGTGCACAACGTTGTGATACAAATCAACTCTAATGCATACCCAGAGACGTGGAAACCGTACTTTACAGTGGACGGAACGAGAACAAGTTCGGTAAAGTCAAGGCAGCGCGGCACGTACAAGGACAACATGGCGTCAGCGGTAAGTCGCACAGGGAGGAAGAGGACGAGGACGAAGGAACCAGTGATTGTGGGGACATTCGGAACACCAGGTGAACAACGAAACACGGGCGTCGCACTCTCTATAACACAATGTACGGTAGTCCATGCGGAGCGCAGTGCCGCGAAGCAGCAGCGAAAACATGGCACAACGAGCGTTCCGATCGAGTAGATAAATCGGCGCAAGTGGGCGGGTAGGCAAGTGCTCACACCGACGAGCGAAACAGCCAAGGAGGAGGAGGTTGACGGAGCACAAACAGACCTTACACCGCCGGCCCTCCGCCCAAGCCACGCTCCACGTCCGCGTCGTCGGTGGCTCGACTGAAGCGCGAGCCCCGCTTCTCCGCGAGCCCGGGCGACTTGACGTCTTCGTCGACGTGCACCATCTCGTGCGCCTCGACGTCGATGTAGATCTTGCCGCCCGGCGCGCCCCCGCGGCTGTCCTGGGAGCGCATCATGAGCGCGGTCGGGCCCTGGCGGATGTGCGGGATCGAGGCGGTCGTGCCGGAGAGGGAGTGCACGTTGGAGGACGGGGACTCGTTCTTCCAGGTATCGCGGGACGTGAGCGAGACGATGAGCGAGAGTGAGTAGATTTTCGTGATCGTCAGGTTGAAGACGAGGTGCGCGGTGGTCGTGACGCGCAGGTAGAGGATGAGGTCGATGATGTTCCAGATGAACGTGAGAAGGTTCGTCTGGATCATCACTGGGCGGGCGCAGGTTAGCGGGTGCGAGTGAGGGGGCGAGGAGGAGAGCGGGTACGTACGGCGCGAGATTTTGTCGATGAGGGTGTCCGTGAAGGCAACGCCGGTCTTCCGGACTTTCTAAACGCCGTGACGTTAGCGACTCGCAAGACGAGACGGCGGTGGCGGGCGACTCACAAGGTAGTAAACGAGCGTGGTAGTGATGAGCAGGTCTGACGTCACGGCACCAATGCACCAAGTGATAACAATCGGCTGGAACTTGTAGAAATCGAGCGAGAACGGGATACGAATCACTGCAATCAGCGTGCCGATGGAACCCACTGCGGTTTGCGCAAAGTTAGACTCCGCTTGCGTAGGTGAGAACGAGCATACGCACAGACTTGTACGATTGAGAAAAATGTGATGAGTCCAACGATCAACTTGTTGCCGGAGAGAATCCAGATGCGCCAGGCAAAGAACCACTGAACAAGCCCAGCAACGATGCCCTGTGTGACAGTGGCCGTCAGAGAGATGCCATTTAGGAGAGCATGAACGGCTTACAGTCGTGAGTGGAGCTGATGATCGCAGACAGACGAGCCACCATTAGTATCGACCCTCGGACACGCTAGGCTGCATTGAACGCACCTCCTTCGGAAGCTGGAAGGAGAATAGTTAGTCGACTATATCTGTCAAAAAGTCGGAGAGAGCGCTTCTTACCCCAGTTCGCATACAGAAGTCCTATGTAGTTACCGAAGCCAGCAACGAAGGGTATGTACACAGACCCGACGTTGAGGAATGTATGCGCGCACTCAGTGACGAGTACGGCAGCGACCTGCACGGGACAAATTGTGAGTGGGTTGTACATAAGTATATCGGATCACGAGGAAACTGACCAGGAGACGAATCCACGTCGGGTCCCTCTTCGGAGCGCTGAAGTAGGAGGCTATCTTCGTTATTAGCACGCCAAGAAGTATCGAGTCGAAGATCCCCGCAAAGAACAGAGGACCGACGCTGTGGACGAGAGCCGGATTCAATGAGTGCAAACACCAGGGCAAGAACGGAGAACAGACTTCGAGACGACATCGAACGGGGCTGCGGCGGTGCTCATCCTGTTGACCCGTTGGCGGTAACGAGAGGGGGTGTCGCGATAGGCGATGGACTGGAGAGGGGAAGAAGGGCTGGACGGCGGGGAAAGCGTTAGTCGCGGGAAGGTCGTATATACGCGCGAGTGCCAGGGCCGGGCGCGCAAACGCGCTGTTCTTCCTCAGCGACATCGGGTTACCAGGCCGTTCTCGTTTTGGTCGAGCGTAAACTCACGCCAGCGGATCGGAGAAGGGAGCAAAGGGGAATCCAGGGCACCACGCGTCCCACGAGTCCGTCCTGTCGCGGGACCCGTCCTCCAAGCGCGTGCACGATGTGCCTTGGCGGGGGCGTCGGCCTCGGCTTCAACGTTGAAGGCGACCGCCCTGCGCAGGCAGTTGCAGGCCCATACGAAGGCGAAACCTTTATCCGAGACCTCGGGTAGGGCTAGTGCGCGCCCGAGGAAAGAACCGGCAGGCAGGAGACGTCTCAGGTCTGTGCAGAACTTCCTGTGGCAGTCTGGCAGGGGCCAGGGGGGGCGGGGATTTGTGATATTGAACGCAGCTCGTTGAAAGCTGCGGAGGAGTGTGAGTACTGGGCCGCAGCCCCAACGCTCAGGATTTTGCGGCTCGGGATTCGTGGGGAGAAAAGCACAGAATACAGGTTGGAGGATGTTCTGCCTCAGCGACCAGTGGGGCTCGAGACGCGGATGTCGAGTCTGGACAAAGTGTTGAAGCTGATGATCCGGAATAACCGCGCGCACCGAGGAGGAGCTTTTAAAGGCCCCGGATCACACCGGACCGAGTGGCGGGCCGCGCCGCCATCCAAACGTTCAATTGATAAGCTGTGGAGGTCCTATGATCACGACACTACGCTCAGCTTCTGGCACTTGAGAACTCAGAAGGGTCCATACTTACCTTGATCAAGCCATCGGCATGATGTCTGTGGGCCAAATTCCCACTACCTGCTACTATTACTCTGAGTGGCTGATTGAATCAGTTCTGCGCTCATGCCACTGTCGTATGCTTTAGAAGATAGTCTGCGTGCCCCAGGAACGGCAGAAATAGCTCAGGATCATCGTTTACTCCAGGGCACAGAGTCCGACGAGTTCGACGTCGCTGAGGTACCGGTTAATACCCGCCCGGGCCCGCCGAATATTTTCATTCGATCCGAGATGGACTCTAATCGCGCTCAGTAATATGTACGAATATTTGGGACATCTATACGTTCTTCCATCAGTTTCCCCCGACCCAGCGATTGAGTCCGAAGAGCATGTGCGTACTGTATTACTGACGTGATTAGGCCTGGCACCGGGATGCAGAAGCAAGGCTCCCGCGACGAATGGAGTTGCCATCGAGTCTCGCGCAAGAAAAAATCACTACTGGGGTGAGATACTCAGCTTCAATAATCGGGGGCTAAACTTTGTAAGCTTGCAGATGTTTGACATGGGTTCTGTATATTTAATGATCGAGTCTTCAACCCGGGGGACGCCTTGGGAAGCGTCACAGCAGACTTTGTCAATTCTGACTTTGGCTGACACGGTCGCAACCATCCCAGCTCACCTTATGGCATGTGTTCATGACCTTCAGTAAAGCTACACATGGGTTCGACCATTTGAAGTCGTGACGCCACGAAATGTTCGGACCCAGGACGAACACGAGATGGCATCTGCGACGACGTGGAATAAATTCTAGTGTAGGTGCGTTCTGTTGAAGTTGGCGGAGAGCATGATGTGATCTGGTTGAAAATCAGTCCGATGACGCGATCGAAATGACGTAGGTAGATTCATGCTCGTCACGTGGAGCGCGCGACGCGTCGCGCGTGAGACGGGCGCCGGCCTGTGGCATCGTTCCCTCGAGTCATCCCCTGCTGCTTCTGATTCTCTCCGTCTCTCTGACCCCGAACAAGGATGTACGACGGCTATGACGAAGAGGAAGCATTTCGACAGTACGTCTCAGTTTGACGTTCTGCCCACGAACCTCAACCGTGAATGTCCCAGAGCTATCGCAGCGAGTCTGAGAGAGAGTGGACCTCCTCAACGTCAAGCACCCGAGGTGATAGATCTTTCAAACGACCTTGAAGACGATGACACCTCCACCCCGCCTTCCACCCCGTCCACCCACCGGAGCCGCAGTCCACCCAGCCTCCCCCGCCACGACCGCTCGTGGGTGGGATATCACCCGAAGAACGTCGGCAGATGGAGGCAGAGCGGCTCGCGCGTCTCAAACGCACACGTCCGGACCTGCACAAGGAGGCAAGCACGATCGATCTCGTGGACTCGGACAACGAGGAGTATCAGGAGGACGAGGACGACGGGGGACAGCAGAAGCAGGCGAAAAGGCAGCGCATCTCTCGTTTACCCTCTCGCGCGCCACCGCGTCGTGCCGACCACCGTCCTTCTGCTTCGTACAGTGCTGCCGCCGGTGCATCTGCGCCGTCGAGGGCCGGGCCAAGCACTTCTACGGGAAGAGCCAGGATGGGTGTGGCGGGAGCGGGGGCGGGGGCGTCGTCTTCAGGACAAAGGCGGTTCTGGGATGGCGAGCTGCGACAGACGGGGAACATGCACGTCGATCCGCGCAAAGATACTCGGTCAGACTTCAGGTTGTCGGATATCATCTCGCCAGTGAGTGACTCTCGAATTCGAGCGCATATTGCCACAAGTGCTTTTAGAACCTGGTTCTGACCGCCACCGGTGGGGACAGAAGGAAGAAATCGAGTTTGCGATTGTGTCGGCGTACGTTTGGGACTTCTCCTGGGTGTACCAAATGTTTGCGAGGAGCACACCGGTGATTGCGGTTGATCACAGCCAGACTGGTAGGGTGTTTTGTCGCCAAGCCTGTGACTATATGCTCACCTCGTGAACGCAGGAGAGGCATCTATCAAGTCCATCCTACCAAACTGGATAAGGACGACACCGTTCTTGCGTGGCGGACGCGGATGTATGCATATGAAGGTGCGTATCCCGACTTGTCAGTTCATATATGCGAGGAGTCTAACATTGTCACTTCTAGTTCATGTTGGTCGGTGTGCACGAACTCCTTACCGCAAGACCTTTGACTGATGCAGATCTCCAGCTATTCTTCAGAGATCGACTGCGGATCATGATCTCAACCGCGAACTTGATCCAATATGACTGGCGAGATATCGAGAACGTATGTGATATTCGTTCGTTTGACCCTCAACACCGTTCTGAGCTGCTTGTGCTATTGTAGACAGTTTGGGTGCAGGACGTACCTAAACGAACTATGCCAATTGCGCCGAAGGCCGCGATCCCAATGCTGCCGAAGACTTTGCATCAGCCATGGTCCGTGTGTTACATGGAGTGAACGTCGCGCCTGCGTTGGTCAACCTACTCCGGAACGACGTCAGTCCACCTCGATTTCTCAATTGTGGATATTCGTTGACCCCCTTATACAGCATCCGAACCTTCCTCTTCAGAGATTAGAAGAGCTCCGCACGCACTGGGATTTTTCGAAAGTCAAGGTTGCGCTCATCGCGTCCATCGCTGGGAAGCACGAGGGATGGCCAAATGTACGATCCCTCTCTTTCCCTGTTCGCCTTTTTCGGGTTTCGGTTTGCTCCGTCACATCAGCGGGTCCGGGGATGCCTTGCATTGGGAGCTGGTTGCTGTGGCGGAGCCAGACAGCGATGTACTAGGTGAACGCGGCAAGCTAGGCCTAACAGTCTGACGGACTCGCACAGGTCATCCAACAAGGCCACACGGGCCTCATGAAGTCCGTCATGGACAAGGGCGTTAAAACGCCCGCGAACAAAGAGCTCATGCTCGAGTGCCAGGTGCTGCCCCCCTCTGCCTCTCCTCCCTTATCTCCGCCTGATCTCCGATCTCTCGAAGGGTTCCTCGATCGGCCAATACACGACCCAGTGGCTGAACGAGTTCCACACATCCGCGTGCGGCGTCTCCGCGCAGACGTGGCTGGACGGCCCGAAGGCGCGGCGCGCGAAGCTGCCGCTCCCGCCGGTGAAGATCATGTTCCCCACGGGCCGGTACGTGCGCGAGAGCGTGCTGGGCGAGGCGGGGGGCGGGACGATGTTCTGTCGGCGGCAGCAGTGGGAGGCGGCCAACTTCCCGCGGCAGCTGTTCCACGAAACGCGGAGCCGGCGAGGGAAGGTGCTCATGCATTCCAAGGTGAGCTTGCTGCTCATAAACGTGGACTCGCGCTGGGCCCTCGTCCCGACGGGCGGTTCACCGGGCAATCCGAGCCGTAGGTTTCGTTCGTGTGGCTGTGGAGCCATTGTAGGCTCGAACGAAACATACGGCTTCGCCTTCGCACTCGGTGGGCCTACTCTCGTGCGCTCCGGTCTATGGCGGGGATCTGGGCCCTTGACGCGCAGCGCGCTATTGCAGCTAGCGTGTTTTGGTAAGAAACGCTGACGTTGCGACTGGCAGATGGTCCTTGGTACGTTCCGCGACAAACGAGGGACGCTCGACGCCGCCCCCGCAGGCAGCGACGGCGAGGACAAGCCCGTGGGCTGGCTGTACATGGGCTCGCACAACTTCACACCGTCCGCGTGGGGTACGCTCTCGGGCTCGGCCTTCAACCCGACGCTGAACGTGGGTGCTTTGTTGTGAGGTCAGATGATGGACTCTAACGGTGGTTCGGCAGATCACGAACTACGAGCTCGGGATCCTCATGCCGCTCCAGAACGAGGCGGAGGTTGACAGGTTGACATGCTGGGAGCGCCCGCCGAAGAAGTACGTGGCGGGGCAGGACGAGCCGTGGGTGCGTTGTCGAACGTCTGCTCTAGGCTGTCCTTGACTGATGGTAGTTCGCGCCCGCTCTATCTGCAGATACAATCCGAGTCTGAACACTTCAGGCAGTGACGGTGCTGGATGGCTTCTCCCTGGAGTAGTACATAACTGGATGGACTCGATCGTGCTGACGCGCACCGCCCTATGTGGGACAACCGCCTGCCACGCCGGTGTCTACTTGTCGAGCAATGTGCTTGTTCTCAATGTCATCTTCACCGTATGCTATATACGGCACCTCCGTGCTTCTATCCACATCAGCTGGCGGTGGCATCAGCGGGGCCCGATGGTGCCGCGAGTCGCGTGGTACACGGGACCAGAAGAGCTCGCCTCCCGGTGGGCACGACTCTGACCACCTGGCGATCGTCTTTCATGTATCGCGACGGGGGCGGGTAGTGAGCGTGGACAGGACACTACATACAGCACAGCGTGGCGGCGGCTCGAATAAACACTGTTCCTGGACGAGCCGGCTCGGCGGTGTCCAAGCGCCCAGGCGACCGCCAAACGCCTCGTTGCACGGCCCTCTTCCTCCCGGCCTCCTCCCTCACGCTCCCCGCCAGTCGTTGCCCCTCCCGCTCGTTTGTCTCGGCCTCCCCTCCCCCTCGGACTTCCTCCTCGCCATATACCGACGCCGCTACTGCGTGCCTTATACCAGCCCGCCGAATCCGCCACCACTCCTCCCACGCGCAAATCTCGGACTAATCCCCATCCTCCTTCTCGAACGCATACACTCCAGCCCGAGCAGAACGCATCCACGCCCGCCTCCTCACGACCTCTCCCCTCCACGATGCTCGCGCTGTCGAACTTCCCCGCCGCCTTCCTCGCCCTCCTCTGCGCCTGGTCACTGCTCCCTGTCGCCCACGCAAGTGAGTAGAGTTTCGGCGATACGTGCTGGGCAGCGAGCTGATCCACGGCTTCCGCCGCGCAGCATATCTCGTCATCAACGCCCCCGCGAAGGGGACGCAGTGGGTGAACGGCGCGACGAACCCGATCTCGTGGACGAAGGGCCTCCTCGACTCCGTCTCCACGTTCGACATCGAGATGTCCCGGATGAGCGACGACGGGCTGATCTATGTCGCGCGAAACGGTGCGTCCGCCCTTCTTTTTCGTCTCCTGCGATGCGTGCCGACCACTTTCCCCCTCCGTCTCCCCGCCGCCGCCGCTATCGACGCAGTGGACTGCTCGCTCTCGAAGGGCAACCTCAACGTCGCGCTGCAGGACGTCCCAACGGGCGACGACTACTACCTGCTCTTCATCGACTCCGCGCACGGCATCCTGTACGGCACATCCCCCCGCTTCTCCATCGTCGCCGCCGAGAACGCGACGGCGACCCCCACGCCGGTCTCGGGCGCCGCGACGGCGTCGCTCTCCGGCGGGGCGAACCCGACGGTCGGGTTCGCGACGACGTTCGCCGCCGTCAGCGGCGCCGTCGCGCTCTGGGGCCCCCACGCGCAGACGCAGCTACTCGCAGCGGGCGCCGCGCTCCTCGCGTGTCTCGCCGGGGGCGCGTGGTCGGTGCTGTAGGCCCCGCGGGACGATCGTCGGGTGTGATACGGACGGGACGGCGGGGCGGGTGTGTACAGTGTTTCGGTGTTCGGTGCGGATAGATGCTCGGCGGACTGAATCTATGATATCTCTGGGACCTTGGGCTACCCTAGTCGGTGTTTACTACAACCACTACTTATTGCGCAGCAGACACTCTCCGCCCCCTACGCACACGGCTTCCGGTTTCGTTCGTCGTACTTACTGGTACGACGAGTCGTGCACGCTCCCGGAGCACACCCAGCTTTTCTCTGGCCGGGCTAGCTTCCGTCAAAACCACGTAGGTAATGCTCGAACCTCTGGATACGGACGTCGAGTCCCGTAACGTCCTTATCATGCCGTACTTTCTCGACAGCACTCGCCCTGGATATTGCACGGTCGCGGACCTGCGCAAGACGAGGTCGATCGATCGGGAATGTCTGCTAGCGGACGGGTATTCGGCCGGGCCGAGTGTCGGGCCCCTGTATGTCGCGGCGAGTTGCAACGTTTCACGGTGAGGGCGATCGCGACGCGCGCCAAGTGCTTCCTAAATGGGCGACTGACGCACGCGCACGCGCGGGTGAACACATCGCATACACCCACCCACCACTCGGTCACTCACAACCACCATGATGTCCCCCTACGCCTTCAGAAAGATCGAAATTAGCGTGGTCAGTCATTTCCGAGTACTTCTGATCTTTCATCTGAAACAAACAGTATGAGATAGACCGTGTAAGATGTCCCTCGAAAGCATGCAAGAGCCTCTCCTATTCAATCTACCTTTCTCAGATAAGATCCCAAGGATCTGTGCAGCCGGCCCTGCAAGGGCCTGCAAGGACCCTCCGGTTCCCTTCATCGTCCAAGCACTCAGGCACCCCTACATAGGAAACATACACATGAATGGATCCGGAGACTTTGCCAGTCAAAGTGTCATACGAGACGCCGTAAGCCTGTGAATTCCGTCCCACACCGTGCCGTCCACTGCTCAGGCTGAGCGCTGACTTCTGCGGCTCCCCGTCCTATCTACCTTGGCGTCGAACCAGCATGGTGCAGAAAACTCACCCGGCTTTATCGCGCCACGCAGCGGCTCTCGTCCCTGTCGATAGCGGTCTTCAAGCGCATCGCGCACTGCGCGCGCTGATACCGAACGCTTCAGACAGCGCCAGAGCTATCTCCCGTCCGGTGTCCCCGCCCATCTTCGTAATGACCGAAGGGCGGAGTACGCTCCGGCTGGACGCTCCACCCGCAGGACCGCCTGAGAAAGATATGCTCGGTTCTGGTACGCTATCGCGTGCGCGGATAAGGCGGCGGGGGCGGGCTTCGTGATCGCCTCGTGCGCGATATAAAGCCGCGGGCCTGCCTTCCGGGCTCGCGTGCGCCCCTGGCCCCTTTCCTTCCCTTCTCATCGCACGCACGCGAAGATGAGCGCAAACGGCTCGATCGACGAGAAGAAGGCGGTGGACGTGCACATCGCCGTCGCGGAAAAGGAGGTCGACACCGCCGCGCAGCTCGCCGCGGGCCTGGAGGACCTTACGCCAGAGGAGTCGGATCGGATCAGGAGGAAGATCGACTGGCACATCCTCCCCCTCATGTGCGGTGCGTATCCGTCGTACGCTCGTCTCGCCGCGCGTGCGCTGACGGGGCGCAGTCCTTTACTGGATCCAGTTCATGGACAAGACGACCCTCGGCAGCTCTGCTATTCTTGGTATCAGGTGAGCCTCCAACGTCGCCTCCTACCGGAGCTTCGGGTGAGCTCACGCGTCCACGCGCAGAACTGCGACGCATTTGACGACGAACCAGTGCGTACACATTTTCCTCACTGTGTCGCGTGCGCGCTGACCCGTCCCGTAGATACAACTGGTACGCCCGACGCGTGACGTCATGCGCGGCCTCTTGATACTCACTCCCGCGCGCAGGCTTGGCACGATCTTCTACCTCAGCTACCTCGTCTTCGAGTACCCGCAGAACCTTGCCCTGCAGCGCTTCCCCGTTGGAAAATGGATGAGGTGCGTACCCCACTCTCCGCTACAGTCGGCGTCGCCTGACGGAGCTGTGACGCAGCATTAACATCTTCGTGTGGGGCATCGCGCTCTGCTCCCACGCGGCGTGCAAGAACTTTGGCGGCCTCTTCACGGTTCGCCTGATCCTCGGCGCGTGCGAGGGCTCGATTACCGCCGGATTCCTCATCGTCAGCTCTATGTTCTACACGCGCAAGGAGCAGACGCTGCGTGTCGGGTACTGGTGTGAGTCCGACTTCCCGCCCCCGGACGCAGGATGCTGACGAGGAGGGTAGTCCTGATGAACGGCACGGCACAAATCATCTCGGGATTCCTGAGCTTCGGGACGCTGCACATCAAGACGGAGAAGTTCGAGCCGTGGCAGTGGTGCGTTTTCTTCCCCGCCTCACAATCCCAGTACGCTGACCGCACACAGGCTGATGGTCATCACCGGCCTGCTCACCCTCATCTGCGCCGTCTGCTACTGGTTCCTCTTCCCGGACTCCCCCACGACTGCCTGGTTCCTCACTCCCGCCGAGCGCGCGATGGCCGTCAAGCGCATCCAGGAGAACCAGACCGGCGTCGAGAACAAGCACTTCAAGATGGACCAGTTCTACGAGGCGCTCACGGACCCCAAGACGTGGCTGTTCGCGCTCTTCTCCGCGCTCGATAACGTCCCGAACTCGCTCACGAACCAGCGCTCGATCATCGTCTCCGGCTTCGGCTTCACGAACCTGCAGACGACGCTCCTCGGCTGCGTCGACGGCGTGATCGAGATCGTGACGATCTTCACGGGCGTGCGCCTCGCCGCGCGCATCCCGAACTCGCGCGCGTACGTCGGCGCGGTGTACTTCCTCCCGAACATCCTCGGCGTGCTGCTCATCAACTTCCTCCCCTGGGAGAACAAGGTCGGCCTCCTCTTCGCGCAGTGGCTCACCGGCGTCGGCACCACCGGCTTCGTCCTCTCCCTCTCCTGGCTCTCCTCGACCACAGCGGGGCACACGAAGCGCGTGACGACGAACGCGATCATGCTCATCGCGTACTGCATCGGGAACGCGGCCGCGCCGTTCATGTGGCAGGCCAAGTACTCGCCCAGGTGCGTCCGCCTTCCTCTTCGTGTGCCGGTCCGGACGCGGCGGGGGCTGACGTCGGCGCGCGCGCAGGAACCACGTGCCGTGGACGATCATCGGGATCTGCTACCTCATCTGCCCGAACCTCCTCCTCCTCATCCGCTTCATCCTCCACCGCGAGAACAAGAGGCGCGACGCGGAGGGTCCGGACGAGAAGTGGGAGGACGTGTACATCGAGGTCGTGCTCCCCGACGGGACCAAGGCCGAGCGCAAGGTCGACAAGGTGCGTGCTTTCGCCCGCTGCTCGACCTCCGGGTGCTGACGCGCGCGGTTCGGTGACAGGAATTCATGGACTTGACGGACCGGCAGAACCGGGACTTCCGCTACGTGCTGTGACCGCCGAAAGGGGACGACTGAAGCAGCTGTATTTTTACTGTTATGTTTTCTTTAAAATCACGAATCCGACACGCTATCATTTCGACGACTCGATGTCCACGCCGGCCTGGAAATGAGCTTCGGCGTGCGACGCGTCTGTTGTGGACCGTGGTGCCTGCGTGCCGCTTTTTTGCGAGCTGAGAACCGTTGTGTATGGAGTGCGATTCTCGCGGTGTGCAGCGCTAAACATACTGGGGAGCTGCCGAAGCAGTTTCCCTTCCGGTCTCACTACGGTTCGAAAGAAGGGATTTCATCGTACCCGCATAGTACTGGAATTGAACGTGGGTGCGTGACTGCCGTGAGAGGCGCGCCGTTTAGGCGCGGAGAACTCATCGGCGCCTGCGCTCAGTGTCGGCTCTTGGCAATGCACCACCATCAGCAATGTTCCAATATGCTGACTCTTGGATGCATAGGCCGAGGAAAGGTATGGCCTGATATTTCGATCCCTTCAGATAAATCAACTTAGGAACGCGGCGACCTCGTCGGAAATGAGCAACCCAACTGCACCGCGAGTGCTTCCGAACCCTGCAAAGGCGCTCCTTCATTCGTGTCAATCGCATGGGCACGCCAGGACTGGTGACATTCGCCGTCTCGGAGACAACCTAGGGTTCTCTATATAGGGTCACCTGCCCCATACTGTCTCTTCCCGGGGCACGAGCCGCGCCGAGCGAATCTTATAATACCACAAGAATCGAAGAGACAGCTTCGACTCCCAAGCTCGCTCTTCTCTCACCCACCATGTCCCTCGCGGGCGCGCTCAGCTTCTACAACCCCGCGGTGCGCACCGCCCAGGGGACGAAGAGCACGACGTTCCGGGCTCCCGACCTGGACACCACCCTCACCATCCCCGAGCTGTTCAAGCACAACGCCGAACACCACCCCGAACACCCCGTGTTCGAGTACGTCGAAGAGAACGGTGCGCTGCACACCCTCCGGTTCCCCGACGTGTACCGCGCCGCCCGCAAAGCGGCCAGCTTCGCCGTGCCCTACCTCCAAGGCCTAGAGAACAGTGACTTCACCGGCACGCCGGTGGCAGGCATCCTCGCCACCTCAGGCACGTCTCTCCGTTCCCGGTGAAGTGCCTCTGTATAACTTTCGCCCCCTTTCCGCCCAGACTCCATCAGCGGGTACACATTCCTCGTCGGACTCATGTACCTCGCCGTCACGCCCTTCCCGATCTCGACGCGCAACTCCCCGATCGCGGTCGCGCACCTCGTGGCCAAGACGGGGGTGCGCCGGCTCTTTGTGAGCGCGGACCCGGCGATGCAGCGGCTTGCGCGCGAGGCGAACGAGTTCCTCGCGCGGGACGGCCACGCCGCGGTCGAGCTGCTGCCCGTCCCCCTCTTCGAGACCTCTACGGGCGGGCGGGGACGAGGCGCTGGTTCCGATGGGGGACGTTGATGAGATGAGGGTGTGCATCGTCATGCACTCGTCCGGTGCGTCTCCCGCTCCCCGATTCGAATGTGTTGGGCTGACGAAAGAGGCACAGGGTCGACCGCGTTCCCGAAGCCCATCAAGCTCCTGGACAGAGACTTCAGGAAGTGGGGACGTTCTTCCGTGGGTTCTCTCCTCGTAAGCACGAAGGGCGGGCTGAAGGCGCAAACTCTAGATTATGGCGAGGTCGACCTCTGTGGGATTCGAACCGGAGGGCATGCGAACCCGATGTTCCGTGAGGTTCCCACAGTTCGGCATGCGAGTGGCGTGTTGACGGCACCGCCAGACGGAATGGGCTGTCTTAAGATCACGTGGACGGTATGCCATGCTTTTCTCCAACCTCCGATGCAGTCTGAGGTTTCTCCGTTACAGCTCTACACCGGACTTGTGTGGACGCTATTCAGGCCTTCAACCCCCCAGTCGTGCCCACTCCAGAAGCATTTCTCGAATCACTGCTTGCCACGAAGAGCGAGATGGTTTTTGCGTCCCTGCCTTCGTTGAGGCATGGGCACGCGACCCAGAGAAGGTGGAAAGCTTAAAGACTCTGCGTACCATTGTGATCATGAGTTTCATTTACCCCATGTTAACGCATCTCACAGACCTTCGCAGATCTACTGTGGCGCCCCGATGAACAAGCAGACCGGAGACCGTCTGACCGCCGACGGGGTTTCGTTGGTGTCCTTTTATGGAGTGTGCGTGTCTGTCCGCGCGCCTCCGCCTCCGCCTTAACCAGAACTCTATGTTTTTTAGCACGGAGATCGGCAGCCTCGTCCGCCTCATCCCGAACCCAGACACCATGGACAAGACGGAGTGGGAGTGGTTCGAGTGCTCCGGCCACATCGACGCCTGGCTGGTTCCGCAGGAAGGGCGACCCGGGATATTCGAGCCGATCGCATTTGTACGCCGCGGGAGGGCAGTTCGTGAGGCGCGCGCGCCGCTGACGAGGTTCCTGGATAGGACACCCCGTCGTTGCACCCCCACGTCTTCAACACCACGTACGACGGCCGCCCGGCGTACGCGACGAGCGACCTGCTGCAGCAGCACCCGACGAAGCCGCATCTGTTCCGCGTGTTTGGACGGGCGGACGACCAGCTCATGCTCTCCACCGGGGAGAAGACCAACCCCGCTCCGTTAGGTACGCCGCTCCACTCCAATGGGTACCGCGGCAAGTCTCTTATCGGTTTCATCGACGACAGAGGCCATTTTACTCCAAGACCCGCGCGTCTATGCCTGTCTCATGTTCGGGCGTGGGCGCTTCCAAAACGGCATTCTCGTGCAACCCAAGGAGGAATTCGACCCTCGCGACGAGCCGCGCGTGGAGCGCTTCCGGAACGAGATCTGGTAGGCACTAAACTGCGCCTGTCCGTGCACCTCTCCCCTAATCGAAGAGCTACAGGCCCTCCGTGGAGAAGATGAACGCGTACGCGCCGGCTCATTCGCGCATCTTCAAGGAGATGATCATTGTCAACGACCCCGCGAAGCCGCTCGAGTACACCGCCAAGGGCACGCCGCGCCGCCAGGTCTGTCTCGCGACGTACGTCGACGAGATCGACGCGCTGTACGACCGCGTCGCGGAATCGTCGCAGCGGGAGATGCCACCGCCGCGCGATTGGTCTGAAGAGGCGACGTTGGAGTATACTGCAGGGGTCGTGAGGAGCGTCATGAAGCACGCGACGTTCGGAGATGAAGACGATATCTTCCTGGAGGGGTGCGATAGGTGCGTGTATTTGCGCGGATGTGCTGTGCTGGGACTGAGACGCGTTCGGGCGCAGCTTGCAGGCGACCTGGATCCGCAACACGATTCTCCATGCGCTTCGCTCGGCGTCGACCGTCGATGTGCACCGCGTGCCGTCGAACTTGGTGTACACACACCCCACTGTCGCCTCTCTCGCGTCTTATCTCTTTGCCCTCGTGTCCGCCGCGAATCTCTCGGACGACGCCGTGCAACTTTCCAACGCGTCTCAAGAGACCGAAGAGGCAGTCGCGCGCATGCGTGCGCTTCTCGACAAATACAGCAAGGGGTTACAGTCAAGCAGCGTAGAGAAGGACGCGGCTCCACACATCAACGGGAACGGCCACACAACGAACGGACACACTGTCCCAATGGAGACGGTGGTCGTGACGGGGACAACCGGACGCCTCGGCTCGCACCTCCTCGCGCGGCTCCTTATGCGCCCGGATGTCGCGCGCGTGTTCGCCCTCAATCGCAGTCACGGAGAGTCGGACTCGAACGAGAAGCTTATGGCGCGCTCTGCAGGGGCGTTCAAAGTGCTGGGCTTGGACGCCGCTTTGCTGCGTTCCGGAAAGGTAGTCCTTCGTATCGTCAACCTCACGAAGGAACATTTTGGCCTGGCTCCGGAAGAGTATGAGGAAGTACGTCTTGCTACTACATGTACCTTCATAGTGCTGACTGGACCGGATCTAGATGAGGATGAGCGCGACCCAGATCATCCACAATGGGTGGACCGTGAACTTCAACGTCTCTTTATCGTCTTTCGAGCCTCTCATCGTCGGGGCGCGCAGGCTCATTGACCTCGCCCTTGGCTCGACACGTCCACACAAGCCCCACATGTTATTCGTGAGCAGCGCGGGAGTCCTGCGCAGTACGCGTCCAATATCTTTCTGAAGGGTACATATCTAACTCGGCGCACAGACCACAGCTCCGCCGTTCCTGCAGCCGAGCTCATCGAAACTCCTCCCGAACTCGCCGTCGGCGCCGGGTACTCCGAGAGCAAGTGGGTCGCGGAGCAGCTCCTCTGGCGCGCCTCGCAGCACACCGGCCTCTCCACCACGTCGGTGCGAGTCGGCCAGGTCAGTGGGGACCAGCGCGCGGGCGGGTGGTCGGTCACCGAGTGGGTCCCTGCGCTCGTGCGCATCAGCCAGAAGCTCGGCTGCATGCCCTCCCGCGACGAGGTCCGTGCGCCCGTCTCCCAGCCTCTCCACCCTCCCTCACCCTCCCTCACACCGGTCTCTCGCAGAACCTGACCTGGGTCCCCGTCGACGTCGCCGCGGCCGCGCTCCTCGAGATGACGCGGAGCCGCGCGCCCGTCTTGCACCTCCGCTCGCCGCGCCCGGTGCCCTGGGACATCGTCTTCGCGCCGATGGCGGCGCGGCTCCGCGTGCCGCTCGTGCCGTACGCGGAGTGGCTCGCGCGCGTCGAGGCGGACGCGGCCGCGGCCGCGCGCGACGGGAGCGGGCACGATGCCGCGCACAGCCTGCTCGCGTTCCTCGGGAGCGCGCGGATGGGCGGGGCGGAGGGCGCGCTCGACGTCTCGGAGGCGGTGGGTTGCTCGAAGGCGCTCGCGGACGTCGCGCCGCTGTCGGGGGAGGACGCCGAGAGGTACTTGGGGTTCTGGGACAAGGTCGGGTTCGTCAGGCTGCCCGAGTGAGGGGTGCGGCGCTCGGTGAGGTGGGTTGTAGTGCAGGGATCGTCACAGTTGTCAATCGCACGGAGAAAGGCGGATGTTGTTTTTGCTCCACCCCCCGTTTACTGTGTGATTCCGACACGGACTGGTTCCCTTTCCTCCTCGTCTCCGGAGGCGAGAGTCCAACCCTCGTTTACGGCGGCGCCGGGCGGGTTGAGCAAGTATGCGCCAAAGATATATATCGTGATGCTCACCGTGGCCGGGAATCTTCAAGTCTCAGAGGGTCATGTCAGCGAATGCGACGTAGCCCGAGAGAGAGCCCTTCCAATAACCAACGTCAACCTTGAGATTGGTGAGTTGGAGATCGCGTCCGACAGTAGTGTTCACCCATAGACTCATCAGACGACCCAGTGTCAAGTTGGACGACAAAGTCTGAGTGAAACGATTAGATATGTACCACCACCATCTATGTGTTTTTCCCCCACCAACTCCGCCCAGAGTGATGTTGACGGTGTAAGAGAGGTTGGCACCGGTTGAAACAACGATGGCGCCGTCTTCGGACTCGCTCGCAGCGGAGTGTGTCGGACCCGAGCTACAGTATGTGGACACCCGGAAGTGAGTCGCTAGCAAGAGTGGTGCCCGTCGAGAATGAAAGAGGAAGAAGAAACTGGGCAAGCTGCAGAAGAGAAGTAGCCAACATGGCGAAAGAAAGGGAGGGAGATGAGAGACCGCGGATTCGAGCCCGGGATCGCGCGTTTCTGGCCTTGTTTATTTGGTTCCTCGCGATTTCGTCCCAAAAAGGCAGCCGAGAAGCGCCTGTTCACGCGCGACGAGATCTCCAAGCTCGCTGCATCAGCAAAGTAGGTGCAGAAACGATAGCGTATGATCGTGCACTGGGGCGTTTGTAGCGTACGATAGTTAGTGCTAGCGAAGACAATAGAAGGTAGATTAGTATCCAAAGAATGCAGTATCCCGTATTGTACGGCGGTCTGCTTCTTCCGCTATCAAATGATGATCGATTCTCGCGGGCAGGGCTATCAAGTCTCAGTGCACGCGCGACCGTATATCGGTCATCTGCGGCGCATGAGATGATAGCGCCACACGATAAGAGGCCAGAGCTAGCGGAGGAGATGACAGAGAACCTACAGCACCCTGCGGAAGATTATCGTCTTCCGTCGTACACTGGGGCTCGCATATAATCACACATATATGGCTCAATCGCGCAATAATCCATTTGGGGTAAATATGAAACAGCGGGTATTCTACACAACGCACACATTAGCAGAACAAAGAACCTACACAGCCAGTGATGCAGCCAAGCACCCGAAGCCTCTCAACCAGCACATCTCCCCGACTTGAAGGAAGTGTTCCCTATCGTGAGTACTATCGAAGTGGTCAGTAACGGCCTGGAGAGAATCCGCATCTAGAGATTGCTTACCTGATAGAGGAATCAGTGTGGAGAGCGCAGAAAGGTGGGTTGAGTGCGGCAGGATAGACAGGTCGGGCATGGAGGGGCGCCATGGGCGCGAAAGGGTTAATTGGTTGGGCGCAGGGAGGTGGTCGCCTTGAGCGTAGATGCTCGCGTCTTCATTGTCTTCGCTCCCTCACTTCCCACCATGCTCTTCCTGCGGCTGCGTCGCAAACGGGGAAGGGGAAGGGGGACTCGCGAGGCTGAAGGAGAGGTCAGCGGGAGCGGCGACGGGGAACGCGGGGGAAGAGAGACGCATCCACTGGGTGAACTGGAACGCCTTCACGAGCCGGATCGTCTCCTCGACCGAGCGGTTGATTGGGAGGTTATTGATCGTGATTGCTTGTCCGGCCCCACCGAACGCACGATCAGCCGTCGAACGTATGTTGCTCCAATACGGACGCACCTGAGGATACCCTCATAGAGTCGATGAGAAAGAGCCCGCGGAGGGCGATCATGCCCTCGTCCTCGATGAAGACGCCGTAGTCGTGAGAGATTGACATCATGTCGGGGCGCGCGATGAGCAGGAGGTCCGGGCCAAGACTACCCTGCTTGCGAGTACAGCGAGTCGATCGAGGGCACGCGAATTGGTGATAGGTCAGTGGTTACCGACGGAAGCAACGTTGAGTCGGTGACACTGTCGGCAAGGCTGAGGAATCAGTTTGAAGAGGAGGAGAAGAGGCGGAAGGGGATATTTTAACCAAAGTTCACACCTCGTATGGACGGTGGCTCATCACATGTGACCGACCCGCCGCTATAAGCGCCATAACTTGAAGCCTCGCGTTCAGGAGGTGCACCGAGCTCACCCCGTTGCGAACCACACGTCGTGACTCGTGTCGAGTCCGCAGATGCGGAAATTTAGAGAGAGGGTGGTCGTGTTGGCTTCGTGGAGGTGGAACCTAGGGCGCAGAGTGGCGGCCGTGAGGGCGACGAGACGTCTGCCACGAGAGGGTGTTGAAAGCCATGTCGATGTCGATAGAAGTGTGAGTACGGTGAACCAGATGCTGGAAGCAGAGAATGATGAGGAACTCACCACGCCTTGATACATGGTCGTGCGCGAGCGTGAGTGGCACATCGCACTTGGGGGATGATGGCGGTCGCGGGTTGAGTCCAGTAATAGGCGCGCATGCCCGCACATGCGCCCATGTCTCGGAACAACCGAGAGGAGGTCAAAGCGGGACGCCACTGTGGCTCCGCCGCATCGGATCACAACAATTAGCAAGAAATCACCGTAAGCAACTTCCTTTGGACTTCATAATGTCGCTACCAACACGGACCTCCATATCAGTAAGTCTCCACAGCGATATATATCTTGACTTAACTCTCGACCTACACACTGCCCCCGCCCAGTGCCCAGTGCGGGCGTTTGCCGCGCTGCTCGCGACGACGATGGGGTTGAACAGAGCGCTTCGCTGATCCCCGTAGTGGTGGTCCGCGGAGTAGGCCTTGCTCCTGCCATCACCCGTGGGGCATACAGGCCTCCAGCATGGCTCGACGATCCACATGGTCACCATTCCGGCCTTGAGCGCAGTGGAGGTGCCGTCAACCCGCGCAGGGTTGAAGTCATCGACGACAAGAATCGCAATGCGGCGTGGTTTGATCGTTGGCTCGCGGAGGGCGAAGGCGGCGAGCTGGGAGAGCTTCGCGGAAAGAGGGTTCGGCGTTGGGCCACGCGGGTTTAGAGGAGAGTCGAGACGGGCTCGCCGACGTTCTGGACGACCTGCTTGGCGAGCTCGAAATCGACATTGTTGAGCAGCTTCAATTACGCGTTGTATGCCTACAGGTTGCCACAGTGGGAGAGCTTGAAGAGGCCTGACTTGGCGGAGAGAATGGAATTTGACAAAGAGTGCATTGAATGGCATGTCTGGCGGCTGGCATCAGGGACGTGGAAACACAGAGGATAGACGTACAGGTGTTCACCCCGCACATCATTCGATAAGAGCGCGGGATTCTACGGTCGGACATGGCCCACATAACCATGTGTGCGAATGAAAAGCGGCATGCCCTGAGCGAGCGTCGCGGTAACGGCGAGGTGCGACCTCGCTATAGCTCGCGGTACGTACAGAAGCGGATAAAAGCGTCGACGTACCACGCTCCCCCCAGGAACCCTGGACGTTGCTGAAGCGCACATGGCTACAACGGGCACATGCGTATACTTGGCCGCCCTATCGGGGCATCTAGGGCAAGCGAGATAGCCCGACACGGTATGATTTAGACGTCCACCATGAGAGGGGGTGACCAGCGCACCTTGGAATACCCATGCGCACTGGCCTCACGAGCACGGACTACGCGCTGGGCGTAGGACGAGCCAGGTTGCGATGCCCAAACGACCCCGCCGTGCGATGCCACATTTCTCCTGTACATTTAACGAGCTCGCGCTCGCATGTGAGCGTCGTGCGGAAGGTCGAGGTCCTCCAGGTGAGTGTCATGGTTTTGCTCCCGCGCATATTCTGCCACCACGAGAGTGAGGACTTCGTTCTATGTGCAATGAACTATTTGCTCCCGCCTCGCTGTCTGGGGACTGGGTCGCTTCAAGGAACGCAAGGGGGAGATGAAATGCGCACCTCATGGGAAACAATACTCAAATGAGCAAGGACACGAGTCGATGTTCCGCGTTTGGATCGCGTGTCCCACTTTAGAAGCAGACATTCTGATGAAGAAGAGGATTTTCATAGCACGACGAGGTGCCGCAGAGAAGAAGCGTCAAGGAAAAACTGGGGGAACAGAGGAGGATGGGAGGAGGCAAGGTGGGACTCGCCGTCGCCGGCGTCGGACAGCCAGTGAGGACTCTGTGGCCCGTAAGCGATTGAACAGGCGCCCGCGCCGACGTCCATCCATCCTCGCGCGCACCGCGTTCTCTGCCGCGCACACTGTTCGCGTGCTTGCAAATCGAATGTATAGCTCAATACTAACCTCTTATGCACCCCACGCGCCCCATGATTCAAATATTCACCCTTGAAGGAGTGCATGATCATCGACGATCATCGACTACAGCTTTCTGTTTAAGCTACTAGTGCTGGTAGTAAATACACCATATCCTGTATGTGGCCACAAAATGCGATCAAATGTCATAGCAAAGACGAATGAATGTCAGCCGCCACCGTTCTGCTACCATCATTTATCGCGCAGACAATAGACGACCTGTCCCGATATGGCGGTGTCGCGTGCTATCGGGCGCTACCGTGGAAAACACCTTTTGCTGATGTGACTGTGACAAATCCATTGGATATACATACCTCAGTCTCGGAGTCGATGAATGAGGTGGCTGCCGGGGTGGGGACACGTAAAATTACAGCGTAAATACGTGTAGAAAAATGACACCAGCGCAGGGGAATGAGGAGAGGTAAGGAGGCTAGAGCGACGTGCAAGCACGCCGGAGCTTGTACAGCGCAGGGCGCGGACGCATGCATATGGACAGGCGCTTCTAGGTTGCCTTTTCGGGACCAGATTGCGAGGAACCAAATAAACCTGAAACGTAGGCTCGATCATCCATCCCCTTTCGTCGGAGGTACGACGAAAGCGGCCGGATGATCGAGCCTACACGCGCGATTCCGGGTTCAGATGCAAACGGCTGTAAGCAAGATCTCCGTGCCAAGCGATTCTAGGGCTCCGTGACTCGTTAGCACTCACTGAGTAGCGGCGTTGGCGGCATGCGCAGCGCCCGCGCACAGTAGTCTCGGTCCTTGCTCCCGGCTCCAGCCGTTCACGGTTCACCGACTGTCGCCGAAGTCACGGCCGTACAGACACAGAGTACATTGCCCGTGTGACTGCCTTGGTACGGGGCGCTATGTTCCTGGAGGGGCTGCGCACGATCGTCGATGGTCGCATCCGCGATCAGAAAAGCTGCAGCGACAGTTCAATTACTTGCAGTGGCAAACGTGATTGCCATTTGTTGCGATTGCGACAAAGCGGGAGGGTCGGCTCTCGAAAGAGTCGGACATTGTCGAAGACTGGAATCATTCCGCCGAGCCGTGGTTTTCGCACGATTGTTTTGGGCGGCTGATGGCCGTGTTTGGGCAGTCCCTCGCGCGGCAATCAGGTGTCTGCGCATCCGCGAGCTGGCGCGCGCGACCAGTGACGCGCCCTCCGTGACGCCTTTGAACGTGACCACTGTCACAAGCCGCCGCACATGGGGGAGCGCCAATCACATCACGTGATTGCCTTTGATGGTGCGCCTGCCAAAAACGCCTGGAGGCTGGAGGCTGGAGATGTAGGCTCGATCCAGCCGTCATCGTCGTAACCTCCACAATGACGGCTGGATCGAGCCTGTTCGAGACGGACCAGCCCCTTGAGGAGGGACGACGAAAGGGGATGGATGATCGACCCTAGCCCTCCTTCAAGCTTCAAGCCCGGTATTCACTCGGGGCACTCCGACCAGCACAATGGCGACTTCAACACTGGAGCCTCGCTACGTCGATGAAACCCGGTGCCGAAGATTTTCTGCCATTTCGATCAATCGAAATCTATTCCGTACGTCTAAACTAGCGTTCGCTCGATTCGATCCACAACGATTGCGCCACATTCCGAGCCTGGGTCCATTCATTGACGTGCAAAGGCGTCTGTTCTCCCATCTATCTGTTCTCCTTTCAGAAGCCTTCGCGCATTGTCGTCACTGGTTTCACCTTTCAAGTTTGCATCGTATGCCGTCACTTTGTTCGTCCGTACTGGTCTTTCTAACGCATTCCCAGAAGCTTCAAAATCTCTCGTGGAGCAAGGGCAGTCAACTCCACAGGCGCCCAGGGAGTGCATCGGAGGCGCTTCAAACAGGACCATGTACGCCCGGTGCCGTTGCCGATCATGGGGCCATGGCTTGACCTCGCGGAGATGGGATGGTGCGTGCTCAAGCATGAGCGTCGAATATGCTACATATATCGCCTCCGAACGACGGATGAACCTCGTCCTTGCCTCGTCCTCTCCCCGAGGTTCAACCCCCTCTATATTCTCACTTCCGCCCTCACCACCTCCCTCTTCACCTCCGCGACTATCAAACGCTATTCCTCAACGGACTGCACTCGTCGCAGAGTTTTGGTATACCCCCCGCTACGCGATATCCCCGCCATGTCTACCAACGCGACAGCACCGCCGCTCGACGTCCCTGCGAGGTGTGTCTCATTGGTGCCAGATGACGTTCGTTCGGGCTCACGAAAGTTCTTCTATAGCTTCGGCCCGTTCCTCATTGCCGTCATCCTCGACCTTTTTCTCTACGGCATCGTCTCCACTCAAGCGTTCCTGTATTTCACCTCCTACAAAAGGTAAGCACACCCGCTCGAACGTGTACACATGTATGCCTACACCGTGCTTGAACGTAGCGACCCGCAGTGGATGAAGGTCCTCGTCGGCATAGTGGTCATCAGTGACACCCTGAACTCCTGCCTCGATATCATAGCCGTGTACCAACCGCTCGTCTTGCACTTCGGTGACTACCAGGCTCTGATGGTGACACAGTGGGGTGCGTCGAGCTTCACTTTTTCAGTCCCGACATTAGCGCTGACCCAATAACAGAGTTCAACAGCGACCCTGCCATCACGGCCACCATCGCCTTCCTCGTGCAGTCTTT